AATGAAAATGGATTAGGAAATTTCTTGTTGCGTGGGCTAATGGCTTTGGAGGGCTGAGGTGTCAAACAGGTGTTGTTCAAACAGCTCAGTGAACCTGAGATCTGCCACAGGGTGAAAGGGGACCCCGTCAAGATCCATTTTCTGTTCTCTGCTGCCCTCTGCTGTCCAGTGCTGGCGGAAACACCTGGGCACAAAGCATAGTCCAAGGCATCACTCAGGTTCTAGGAGGTTTTATATACACCTTATGAGACAGGTGGTCCTGTGGCTGGGGGGCGGGGGTGGGGAGGAGGCCTCCAGCCCCAACTTTCCAGGGGAATTGCAGGCAGAACTTGGAGAAAAGACTTCATAGTGCTCAGGGGATGTGTGGCTGAGTCTTTTTACAACTAGAACAAGCATGACTTTCAATTTTTTATTATGGAACATCATAAAACATATTTAACATTTGCAAAATATAGGACATACAGATAAGGTGAACATTTTAAATCATCTGCAGTCCTACCATAACCACTGAGAGTTGATCGTGAAGCCATCTGGATTTTTAATGTCAGTGAATGTGATATAATATTCTGTTGCATCTTACTGTTCTATATGTCACAATTCCACATATTGTTTTGTAATTTTATCTTTTAACCAAGCAGGCTGCATGGACATTCTTTCTTCTAACGTTTTATTGAGCACCAACTACATGTGAGAGAAACATGTAGAATGTTTAGTACTGGACATAGGGACCTGTGAACAAAGCCCACAAGGGTGCTGCCTTTACAGATTTACTGGACTAAAATAGAAAAGGAAGGAAAAGAAAGAAGAAGGCACAATGTGGAATGATGAGAGCGGCTACATTTAAACAGGAAGGTCAAGGGAAGCCTCTCTGAGGAATGGAGGCCACTAGAAGTTACCAGAGAGAAGGTGCCCCCATCCAGTGGGACCACTGGACTAGTCCCAGGACCTGAGAAAGGGTGGGTGGGAAGGGGCACTGGTGGGGCTGTGATAAGCTCAGGGCACCTGGTCGAGGCTTCGGTGCTCCTGTGGGACCTCTGGAAGGAGAAGCTTCCAGTTGTGGGGAGTCCAGAGCCTTGACCTGGTGTAGGCTGGTGATCCAGGGATGGAACTCATGCTTTTATCTAAACATCGAGGGAATGTGTTATGGGATTTTCAGATGCTGGTGGTATGATTTAGGCTCTGCTTACTCACCAAAAGATATATGTGACCTGGGAGGAACAGAGGGATGTCTGGCAACCTGGCAGGAGACTTTGAGGACATCTAGGTTGGAGGTGACCCTTCCAAATCAACATCATTTGCATGGATATCTTCCTTAGCACAGGATTCCACTGCAGGCATGCACTAGAATTGTTTTAAAGCACCTCTTGGGTATTTAAAATTGCAACAATTATATCTCTGCAGCTAAGTTTTTGTGCTCATCCTTGTTTTCTAGAAAAACACCTAGAAGTGGAATTTCTCAGCCACTTTGAAGACTTCCTAGGCAGCACTCAATGATGCTGTAGGTAAGGGGTATCAAATTGCACTCAGGTGGGCCCAAGGGCTCCCTTTGCTCAGCCTCTGGAGAATGAGGGCCCTGTCTGAATAGCAGAAGCTACAGTGAGTGGGTGAGAGCCAGCTCCGGATGTGGTGGCTGGAAAGGAGGCCCTAGGAAGAGCCTGGTGGGAGGGATTGCCACACTTAGATGCTGAGTTCCAGCCCAAAGTGGTCAGACAGGAGGACTTTCCCTCCCTTCCCTTCAGAGTGGAGGGAACTCTCCCTCTGGATGTGAATTAGGCAGTTGATTGGTGGAGCCCTCAATCAATCAGTGAAAAGAAAGGGCAAGGAATGGGAGGGAAGGTGGAGACGCCAGGTGCACCTAATGCCCATTTCGTCCTAATGCTCTGGGCCTCTCCCACACCTCCAAGCCAACCCTGCACCGTAGCAGATCACTGGCAGGATTCTTCTTAATAAAATATGACCACCATAGACAGTAGCAGTGTTCTAGGTCCTACGTGTGGAGATTCATTCTGTACCTACAGAGATGGCAAGGTCCCACAGACCAGGAGGACAGGGAAGGGAGACCTGGGTGCTCAGGGCAGGAGCAAGGGGAACATGAGTCCTGAGTGGATGGAGCCCGAGGAAAGAGCACCGTGAGCACGGTGAGCCCAGTGAGCCGGAGTGTTCTGGATCCTGGAGGGAAGCAGAGGGGCAGGGTGTGGCCCTCACTGACACGTGTTTTACGGGCTGACATCAATGACAAGGACCATTATGTTGATAAGCATGCAGAGCCGAGTGCCAGCCCTGTGTCCTGGACTGGATATGACCCCAGAGCTCCATGTGATGGGGAGGGGTGACGAAACTTTCTCCAGTGACACCGAGAAGGGAGGCAAGAAGGGAGGGACAGAGCCTGCCCTGGGGACAAGGACTCCAGGACCAGGGCTGCTTAAAGCAGCTGGGGGTGTTTGCTGGAGGAGCAGAGGACGGATGGGGAGCTAGACACAGAGGTCTGGGGCCACCAGATACCCAAGACACTGATCTGACAGCCTTCTGCCCACCAGCACTTCATGGCCGACTGGCTGCTTGCAGAAATTTGCTTCTCTTCAGCGCAGATGTCACCATGTTCTTAAGAGGGGATGGAGATGGAATAGGAACGTGCCCCGTCCAGCTAGCGAAGGATAGAAGGTGGTGCCCCCAGGCCTTGATGCCACTGCCCGCGCCCTTTCCTTTATCCCTGTGATGGCTCCCGCCAGACATGGTGCTACGCTCTGGTGACTGTCTTTATAATGTGCGTGTACAATTCAGGTGAGCAGGAATAGAAGCCCTTGTGTGTTGGTGTGGCCTGTAGCACAGGGAGACCAAGATGCTCCCCAAGGGTTGACTCATCTCAGCTTTCTCAGTGTATCAACACAGGGAATGAAAAAGGAAGCAAAGCTGATGTTTTCTTACTTTTATTATTATGGAAGTCACAAACTGTGATGTGAGGGCCGATTTTGGCCCAGAGATGTATTTTGTTACACTTGCCCTGGATTCGTTTTAGTTACACCAACATTTTAAAATGTGGGTATAAGATAGTTTTTGAACTTTCAGCTCCTTTAGAAAGTTTAAAAGATCTGACACCTGGAGTCCCCATTGTTCTGTGCTAACAGTGGAGCTGAGTAGCTGCTACTGACTTTCCTCTGGAGCCCACACCCCTGGGACTGTCCCTTTACTCCCCTAGAGCTGCCCCCCAACCCAGAAACTGACTTTCTACTTCCTCTGGAGCCTTTGGATCATAGTCATCCATAAAAGGAAATTTGAGGGTCCATTTGAACCTGATCTAGACTATAATTGAGCTGTTGACATAGGTCACGTAGCTCATGGGCTGTTTGTGACTCAAACCTGAAAATCCACAGGGGATTGGTTTCAATACCAAAATTGTGCATGCTCAGGTCCTTACATAAAATGGTGTGTTATTTGCATGTCATCTATGTGCCTCCTCCTGTGCCCTTTGAGCCATCTCTACAATGCCTGCAATACCTAACGCAATGTAAGTGCTATGCAAATAGTCATCATACTCTATTGTTTAGAGAACAGTGACTTGAAAAAGAAAATCTGTATGTATTTGGTACAGATTCAGCCATCATGGGCCTAACTATATAGTACACTTCAAGAAACAGCAGAACATGCTTTTTAAATACTTTCCATCTGGGGCTGGTTGAACCCTCAGCTTCAGAACCCACAGATATGGAAGGTGATGGTACATTCATTCCATCCCAGGAGCCCACCAAACTGCACTAGCCAATCAGCCAAAAATACAGCAATACTTCATGTTCTTCTTTTTTAAAATGTTCTAAGAGCAAACATGTGTAGGGATAAAAAGCTGTAGACCTCAGTGTCATGGGTTGTCACCAGTTCTCAGTTATACATTGTGATTGTTACTTTGCTCATCAGTGGAGAAGCGCCATGAGATCTGTGGAAGATCTGTCGAGGTCTTGCTCTCTGCCACGAACCAGAGGAGAGCACTCACATGGCAGCTCCAGCAGAGCACGGAGCAGTCTAGCCCGGGGAAGGAGGGCACCAGGGCTTCCTCAGTCTTAGCTTCTTCTTCAAGAAGCGCCCAGATGTGTTTTATTGGGTTTAAAACCACTGAAGGAGAGGCTGAGAACCTAAGTGGAGCCTTCTGTGGACAATAGGGCTAGGGCACCCCAAAGGGCTATACTTGAAAAATAATAGTGCATCAGAAAAAGACCAAACCTTGCAAGGAAGGAAGCTTAGTTTTGAATCATCTCTGTTCCCAATTGCATCAGGGTAACCTGGGGTTGCTAATGCATCTGGTTTGTTTAGCTGCCTGCAATAGACATAAGTCAGTCCTCTCTGGAGGATTCAGAGCCTCACAGTGTATAAAACACCAGACATGATTGATCAAATGATCCAAAATGATTAATTAGGTCTACTTACAGGGGAATCCATTAAACTGACAGCTGACTTCTCTATATAAATAGCAGAAGCTGGAGGACAATGGAATGTCTTCAAAGTGTTGAAAGAAAATAATTGTCAACCTCGATTACCCACTGAAAATATCTTTATTACATGGAGGTGAGATGATTGCTTACTGGTGACAAGTACTTAGAGGTCAATTACATTATTTCCCCTGCTTCTGGATGCTTGAAAATTTCTAGTTAAAAAAAAATGAAAGCAAAACAAAGACAGTAAAGACAAGAAAAACTGAGAGAATTCTTTACCAGTAGACTTGTACCAAAGAAAATACTGAACACTGTTTTTCCAACTGAGAGAAAATTATCCCAGTTGGCAGGAAGAACCAAGGGGCAATGGAAATGTGAGTTGACATAAACAAGTTTAAATGGATATTAGCCACATGGGATATTAGTAATATGCCTTGTCATATTACTAATAGGTGATAACAGTTGTAAGTCAGAAGCGGGTTAGGCAGAATTAAAATGGTCTAGCTCCTTTTTACAGTCTGGAAGCTGGTAGGAGTACTAATTTATATTATACATCAATAACAATTCAGAGCCAAATGATGTAATTGTTCAGATAACCACTAAATGGGTAGTAAAGAATTTATTAGCAACGACATAATGGGGGGAAATGGAGTAATAAAATACTAATTAAAGAAGATAAGAGGGGAGGGAAAGAGACATAAAACAGGTGGGGTAAATGGACAGCAAATGATAAGATAGTAGATTTAATTCATATAGTAAATATTGTTATATATAAATGTACTAATGCTCTGATTGAAAGACAGATTTTTAAAAAAATGATGGTAATTAGAAGACATATAAGTTATATTAGGGTTAGAGAAGGCTAAATATAAAACAATATATGCCCATGGGAAAAGAAAAATATTGTAACTGGGCTAATACCAAACACAATGGATACTAAGGAAAGAAGCCAAGAGCACAAGAATCAGGGAGGCCTGGACCCAGTGGTCTCATCCTAGAGGCACCTCACCCTCTAGTCACCACCTGGCCTGAGTGTCCTGGGCCTTGAATCATCAAATCAAGAAGCAGGTGTGTGAAAACCTGGAAACACCCAGCACTGTGGAAAATGCTGGAGATGCCACCATGGGGAGGCCCACTGGGCCTTGAGTCCAGTGGAGGCTAGGCCAGTGAACGGTCCATTATTTTGTAGAGGAAAGTCTTGCATTAAGCTGGGAGCTCCTGAGGGTTGGGGTGTGAGATGGGGTGGGTGCCATGTTCCCCAGGCTCCTGCAGCAGGAAAGGAGCATCAGACAGCAAGAGTAAAGGAGTGTCAGACAATAAGAGTGTCACGGGGTGGCTCTGCAAGTCCACACACAAGGATTTCAGGACCTCTGCACTGTGGGATGGAAATGACAGCTTGTTGAGAGGGAGTCATGGCCTGGCCCTGGATTATGTAGTCATTTATACCACTCACAAGTGAACTCGTGCCCGAGGCAGAGACCTGGTGAAGGGTCCTGGGCTGGAAGCTGTGTTGTTCCACTGATGTACAAGAATGATGGGAGGGCCAGGGTGGTTTTCTTAAAGGCTGGATGAGAAAGAAGGGAGGGATATCTTTATTGCTGAAGCTCATCAAGGCAGAGGCAGACAGAAGTGGACAAAATAACAGGAAACTCTGTGATCAGTTGGTTTCAGGGTCCCTGAATACTGGGGGCACAACTTGTATGTGCACTAAAGGCCCCATCAAGTTCTGCAGAGAATAAGCTGGTTGAACTCCATTTATTTGAGTAGTTTTTAGTCTTACCTGCTCATGGTGTTTCAACAAATGTTTGGTAATATTTCACAGGACACAGTGGTCCCAAGGAACACAGGTAGAGGTATATAGTATCGAAAAGGCATTCTTGGCTCTAGAAGCACAGAAAACCAAAACTATGGAGAATCCCTGACTCTTGAATCTCCCCCAACCACTCGCATGGCTCTAGACAGTCTGACAAACTATACTCTCCTAGGATAGCACAGTTTAGACAGTAGAGTCTAGGGATCCTTGATGCCTATAATTCTCTCTGGTCAGCAGCAGCCAGCAAAAAGAAACACCAACAAAGTTCTGGGAGGGTTGAGAATGGCAATGAGAGCAGAAGGCCCAGTGCCTCATGGGGTAAGTCTGGTCTGGGTCCAGAGGCACGAGTGGAAGCCAAAGTGTGGGCTGGGGTTTGCTCAGTGGTAGAGCACTTACCTCACGTGCACAGGATCCTGGGCCCCACCCCAGCTCCCCGCCTCCCAACACACACATGGATCCTTGCCTGAGACAACAGAGTCTAAATAAAACAAGAGCAAGAGCACAGCAGCGAGGTGTCGGAATTCTGTCACATTATCCTACAACTCCACATCCCTGAGGAATTCTGGGTCCTCATGTTTGGTCAACAGTTTAGCTTCCTAGGGCAACATGACAAGTTGCCACACAACTTGGGGACTTCAAACAACAAAAATATGCTCCCTCCCACTTCTGGAGGTCACAATTTGAAGTGGGTGTCAGCAGGGATGAGTCTCTCCAGAGGCTCTGCAGGTTCTGCCCTGTCCCCACAACTTCTTGACGGTCACTGGCCATCCTTGATGCTTCTGGGAAGTGACGGCACAATGCCAGGCAGTGTTTCCATTTGTATTCCTGCTAAAGTATGTCCAGCTGCCTGGACAGCCTATAGCTTAAGACGGGACAGTCTGTTGAGCCTAGGGAGACAGTGGCAATTGCTTGACAGGCCCAGGGAACAAAGGGAGGTTTTCCCAGGACTTGGCTGCATGTCACCAGGTCTCCAAGGGCAGCAGCATTCATGGCTCACTGCTGAGGCTGCTGACTCAGACCCACCTTCACCCCTCTGGGAAGCAGGCAGTGAGGTCAGGCCACTCTGCTAGTCTGGACTTGCTTTACCATTAATGGTCTAATGGCCTCCAGTGGCTTCCACATGGCCAGTTCTCACCCAGCAAGTCTCCCAATGAATCTCACCGGGGAGTGGCCAGCTGCCAGGTTGCTCAGGGCTGGAAGGAAAGGAGGAGATGCAGAGGGGCGTGGTGGGTCTGGAGGCAAAGCCAAGTAAAGGGAGTGTCCTCCCACCTGCAAGTGCAGGCAGAGTCCTGACTGCCTAGAAAACCTCAGGGCCCATCTTCTCTTTAGCTTTGCTCACAATGCTTCAGCCTGCAGTGCTATTGGAGGTCTCAGCAGCTTATTTATTGAATTGAAGCCAGCCAGGATTTCTCAATAGATCACAGACCAACCAGTGGTATGTGGAGCTGATCCTGAGAATCTCTGAGACCATGGCTTGAATGAGTGACGGCCACTGCAGCCTGTCTGTGTGATGAATGTCCTTCTGCCACTGTCAGGAGCCAATGCCATCCTTTGCTGGCCTCATCATTGAAAACAGAGCCACCACTGAGGCAGGAAGACAAGGACCTAGGCTCCAGAGCACTTGACCAAGGAACAGAGCAGGTGCTGAAGACCAGAATTTGATTTTTCAGCCAACAGCTACTGTTTCAGAACCCCCGCACACAAACATCTACTATTCATTCAAAGAAAAATAAGGACAAAAGATAAAGTGCTGGCATTTTCCAACAGCTTCTGCATGAAAGGGGAGCACCCCAAACCTGAGCAGCCTAATGTGCTCCAGTTTTGCAGACTAATCTCAGAACACCCAAACTCCCCCCCACAAAAGCCTGATGAATGTTTTGAAGGCTGCGTCCACACCTATGAGAATGGTCCTCTAATTCTGGCCCCCGCTGCTTTCCTCGTGGCACTGGGAGGAACTGGATTGGTATCCCAGGCGCCAGTTGTTTTAAGCGAGGCTTCCCTTGTGTCTTGTCTCTTCCATTTGTGTCCAGATGCTGCCACCTGGCCTTGGACCTTCCAGCCTCCAGAAGCGTACACCAAAATAAATCTCCACTCTACAAAGTTCCCCGTCTTGGGGGTTCTGTGGAAGCAGCAGTGGGCTCTGACAGCTGCCTGGGGAGAACAAGCTCCAGACTTGTTCATACTGGTGGCAAATCCAGGAAAAGACTGAACTGAAAGGTGCCCCAAGAAGTCCCAGTTAAGAACAGAATAATGTCACATACTTGCACAGTGCCACGGGCCAGACACAGCTGTAAGGGCTCGCATCCCTCAACCACCTTATAAGCACAGTGTATGGTCCTTCATTTTGCACATGAGCAAACTGGGGCAGAGAGAGGGGCAGCTGTTAGCCATTTGTGCATAGCCTGTAAGCAATGGGGTGGGATTCTATCCTAGGAAATGCCACCTGAGTCCAGGTTTTATCCACTACACTGGACAGCCACTCCATGTGGGTGTCCCTGGAGACATCTCAAGGTTATCAACAGCGCCTTCTGGTGGTGGGAGCTAGGAATACTACCAAGGGCAGCCTGGGAGGCAGTGAGCACCCCATTACAGGAGGAGTGTATACAGAGGCAGGGTGCCACTTTGAAGGGACCGTATCAAGGCTGTCCTTGCAGCTGCAATAGAAGAAAAGCTGTGGTGACATGAACTAGTCAGAAACCCAAAAAGGCTAAGAAACTCTTCAGCGTGCTCCCTTCTCAGGGTTTTTGAGTTGGGGTGGCTTTGGTTTGTCTGAAGTGTTTTGGGTCTTTCTTTCTCCATGAAGCACCTAGGCTTGGAAAAAATTATTTGATGATATAAATCCTAGCTTCATATATAGAAGTTTCTCTATGAGAAAACACATGAGATCCTTTTGTGTTGACCAAGATCAGGTCAATTCAAAGAGAACACCGATACTATGCTCTAGAAAGAAGACCTCTGTCCCTGTAGTTCGGGTGGCAGCCTCTGACAGGGCTGAGACCCTGGGCCACATGCTGAGCATTACAGAAATCCTGGTGAGTGGCATTATTGCTCTGTCCCCTGCTTAGAATGGCATCCTATACCTAGGATTCCCTGGGTGACTGCCCACTTCAAAGTACTCCAGCATAAGGAAAAAAAAAAAGGAAGGAGGAAGGAGGAAAGAAAACAATGAGGTAGCTGTGTTGGCTGAGATATACAGGGTTCAGTGCTTTACTGCAGGACTTCTCAGAGCCTTTAGTGAGCTCATATACATGGTCAGTCACCAGGAATCTTGAGAATGCCTTCTCTTCTCAGACCATTTGGTTTCCCCTTCTTTTATTTTTTTTTCCTGAGGGATATTTTGTTGGAATTTCCTCTTGGAAATAATATTCTAACTTTAAATTGTCATCTCTGAATTACAACCTTTGCTCTTCCCAATTACTTATTTCTGAAAATACTTACTGACTACTATGAGCCTGGCTAGTCTTCTGGGGACATCTCAGAAAAGACTCATTTCTCCCTGTGGTTTACTGAGTTCAACTTATACAGGTGGTAGGGCTTTGGTATCACCATAACCAGGGGCAAAATTCTTTGTGCCAAGCTCTGTTCTAAGGGTTTTACAGCTTGATCAACAAGGCAGGTCCTTAAGCTGTCATTAAATCCATTTTACAGATCAGGAAACGGAGGCCTGGGGATGTCAGGAATCAAGTGCCAGATGCAGAGCTGGAACTCAGGCCTGGGGCCCCAGCTCTACTGCTCCAGGGAACAGCCTCTCAGGCACTTGCAGAGCTGTGGAAAGGACGCTGAATGGCAGAGTCAGCAGACCACCGTGTGTGTGATGGGAACAGAGTTCACCCCTATGTTGCTGCCCCCAAACATGCACACACAGGAGCAGAAATCCTGGCTTTTCAGGACAGAAGCTGCCTCTTGGTTTCATATCTGATTATAGATTTCAGAAATGAAAACACCAAACCATGACACATCATTTTTCTAAGTACATATACTTTGGCCTGTATTCATCAGCTACAACAGAAGATGTTATTACACTAAACACTCCAGGTATTAGGTTTTCTTAAATAAATAACACATACATTTGTTAAAGGAAATAAATATGATGAGAACGAGCAGGGTAGTTCTGTGCCAAGAAAAAAAAAAGGAAGATTGGAACACCTGTTGATAAATTTTCTAGAAGCTTCTGCAGACAGAAGGCAACTCTCAGAGCAGTCAGGGAGAAGGCCCAGGGTGAGTCCTTGGGCTGTGTCCCTCCTGAGGCCCCTCCTCTAAGCCTCTGTAAGCTGGGCCCTCCCTGAGCCACTCTTATGGCCCATTAGCAGTCCCTTTCTTGGGGCCAAAATGCATATAGCTGATCCCTCATCATGTGGGCTGAGGCTGTCTCCATTTTGACTCAAAATTCAGCCTCCTCTCTGGCTTTTCCAAAACAGCCAATCACATCAAGCATGTGGGGGCTGTCATTGTTGTATGGACAGTTTGTGGGGTCCAAAGGGGAAGACATATTGCAGCCAGAGGCATTCCTGAGAGAAACCACCATTATGTGTGCGTCTTCTCCTAAGAGGCCTCCACATCATCACTGGAGAGGGCAGGTGGGGTGAACAGTCTTCTAGAATGTGCTGGAGCCTCTTGAAAGCTTTGTCTGTCTCCAAATCCTACTTATCCCTGGAGCAGTATCAGCTCCTCTCCATCTCCCGCCCCAGAAGAAAGACCAGAGGAAACAGATCATGGGCTGACAGAGCCACGTGTGAGCAGGCAGGCCTATGCTGGCTGCCAGCCCCAGCAGGTACACCTCTCTAGCAGGCCCCTGTCCTTGCCCTCCCACCAGGCCCAACCTCCCTTAACTTGCATCATTTATCTAATATACATGTATGACATATTTATCGAGTGCCTTCTATGTGCTACAACCTTCTTGGATCTGAGGACAGGAGGAAGCCCAGGAGATGTGGACAGACACAGGAAGCAAGGAGCAAGATCCTGAACGGCCCCGCTGCCAACAAACCATGGAAAGGGATTTTATTCCAAGCATAGTGAGAGTCACATCAGAGGTGTGTCTAGGGCAACATATGACAGGAGATCAGGGAGAAAGGCACCCCTGGTGTTAGGACCAGACAGCACAGCTAGCTGCGCAGGGTGAGCAGCGTGGGCCAAGACCTTGCCTCCCGGGCCTGTGCTTCCCTCTCCAGGGCTGGAGAGGGGTCAGTGGTGGTCTGCAGCTCAGCATAAGCAGGGCTGGCAGCTCCTTTCCTTTCCTTGGGGTCTCATCTGTCTCTGCCACCTTGTCCAGTCATACTGCTCTGAGGACAACTTTTTGTTACCTGGAACAGCTAACTAGACCTTGCCCAGTCCCCTGGCCTGCACAGTGCAATGCATGCAGGCCTGGGCCCTGCAGGGCTCTGTGGGCTTCCAAGCAACAGGCCCGCCTACCCAGAGGACTGGTTCCAACAGTGCTGAGAAAGGGAGCCAGCTACTGGCTGTAGGCTCTGGGGTCATTTTCACATGTCCATGGCGTGCCTCTTGCTGTGGAGTGTCTATCTGACTGTCTCACACTCAGCCCTGAGGGTCCTAATTCTGCTCACCTTTCATGGCCATGCTTGTTCCAAGTCTCCCCTCAAAGCCTGCAGTGAGTCAACCTGCTCCTTCCTCCTCTTGCTGCGTAGTGACTCTATGATGGAGATCGTCCTGGTTTTGCTGTCTTGAACCATCGATCGATGCCTGTATCCACTGCTGAGAGACTGAGCTTTGTGCATCCTTGATCAGAGGTGAATTTCCCTTCTCCTCTGTTTCCTCCCAACCCCAGTAGCCCTTGGGGATCAGTGGGAAGGCAGAGGGGGAGAGAAGCCCAGGACATGCCTGGCTTGGACCTTGGAGATTAACCTATTACTCTCCCTCTGAGGCCTGGGAAAGTTGAGGCTGAACCCTGCTGCTCCTGTCTCCAGGAAGTACACAGATCAGGAGGAGACAGGAGGAGAAGACGGGGTCCCAGCAACTCATGCATGCTCCTGCCTGTGCCCTGCCTGGCAGGCCTCAGCTGGAGAGCCCTTCCCTTCTCTTCCATCCAATAAATTCCAGGCTTTAGGATTTAGTTACAACTCCTTCAGGAAGCCTTGCCTCCCATTGTGACAGCATGTGACTCTTCCATGCCAGCCTTAGGCTAAGGGAGCTGTTTACCTTTGATCACTCTGGGGACAGATGTGGCCTGTGCAGTTAGCTGGTGCCGTGTCCTCAAGACACCAAGGCTGAGCACATGGCTCTTGCTGTCCTTCAGAACCTGCCTACCCTGGAGAAGTCCCAAGCAATCACAGAGGGACCCTCGCAATAGCACATGGGGTGGAAGGCCCCATCCCCAGCCTCCTTGCAGCATCTCCAAGCTCTTCTTGGCCAGAGCCTGCTGAGATCACACTGGCCCCAAAGCAGCACTCTCACTTGCTCCACTTGCCATTTAGTCCATTCTGCCTGGAAGCTTCTCCTCTGCCACCCCAGCCTTCTCCTCCCGCCTCCCTCTTACCTGTGGCCGAGTCTTCTCCTACCACCTATTTGCTACTTTTGGTGCTCTTTTCCGAACTCCTCCAAGTCAGGTGCACTGCACATCCCTGACCATCTTGCTCATCTCTGCCTCTGAGTACCACCCATAGGGTGAGGGGTCCTTTGAAGAATGTGTGGGGAGCTCAATAAATACTCTGAGTTTGGTGGTCCCTAAGAATGGGAATAGGGGTTGGACAGTGGGATTTTCAGGAAAAGAAGTGCTGAAAGTGGACAGAGCCAGTTTCTGGAGATGCCTCAAGGACACAGACAGTGCTGCCCTTGCCAGGCATTATGACACACACCTGTAAACCCCAGTGACTCAGGAGGCTGAGGCAGGAGGATCATTAAGTTCAAGGTGACCTCATCAACTTTGCAAGAAGCTAAGCAACTTAGGGAGAACCTGTCTTGAACTAAAAATTTAAAAGGGCCGTGGATGTAGCTCAGCGGTAGGGCAGGCCTGCGTTCATCCCAGGACAGGGAGTGGGGGTGAGATGGTGACCCACCTGCATACAGATTTCTTTCTGTCCAAAGACACGCTTTCAGAAATCAGTCCCAGAGGGAGCGTTTCAGAGGCTGCAGGAATCAATCTTGCTTCTTTATTCTCTTTCCTTCCCACTTCCACTCATTCCATTCCCTGCTCCTGCTCATCTCTGGACACTTCAGCAAGAACCCCTGTCCTGAATGAAAGGGAACCATAAGATCTCATCCCCCTTCCTAAGAGAAGCCCAGTTGACAGACTGCACATGTCCCTGAAAAACTGCCAAGGATGAGAGAAGATCTTGCAGGTATCTGTCTCTCAACTGCTGAGGGAGTCAGTATTATCACTATCTATAAATGAAGCTCAGTTAACAGTTGCCCACAGTCAAGCAGCTGGAGTGCCTGGAGGCGTTCCCAAGCTCCACTCCTTTCCCCCTTGCTCCCCATCCCTGACAAGGGTGTTTAGAATCCTCCAAGTGGATTTGCTAGAGGCAAAAAGCAAAAACCAAGGTGTAGTGACAGTGTTAGCTAGAGTGGTTCCAATAGGTGCTGAGAGATGAGCCACTGCCATTCCCAAAGCTCAGACCCCAAGCAGCAAGCAGAGCAGCGCAGCAGCATTTGAATGAGCTGTGGGATCCTGTCCTCCTGCCTGTTTATGAATCTTTTCCCTTTGGACAATTCTAAGGTAAAAGCCATCAGTGAATGGCAGGTAAATTCAACTCCTAGAGCTGTTTCATTATCAAAACTCGTTTAAGCAAATTTCAGTTTTATTCCAACACCCCCAAACCTGTTCTGCTATGAGACCTTCACTTAATTCCAATCTTATTCTGCCATCATTTGTAGCCAAAACACTTCAGGCAAGCTAGAATATGAAAAGTCATCATGCTCTCAACCAGTGGCATGCATTACTATTGCAGAAGAGAATCTAATAGATGTCTTACTTGGGAAAAGAATCCTGGGTCAGGGAATCCTCTACTCCTGGTGACTAAGACCTCAAACAATCTCACAGAGCTGAACCAGGAAATGGAACAAAATAATCAGAAGTGAAGAATGGAAAGTTTGCAATATACGAAAATGGAAGAAGTTCAAGAAGGAAATTGTTTGCAGAGAAATGTTGTGGGAGGGAAGCCTAAGAAATTATTTCTTAAGAATGATTGGGGGTAATAACTTGGACTGTTTTCCTAAAAGCTACCTGTCCAACAACATAATTCCTTCCTACAGATATTTGCTTCCCAGTGTTTTACAGGAATGTCTGTCAATTCGAAATATAAAAATTGAGTGTCAGCCCCTTGCTTCTCTGATTTTTGCCGAGTGTAGACCAAGGAAAATACACCTTCCCTATTAGGCAGCGAGAAAGCTGCTTGGAGGACAGGATCCCACAGAACTCCCATGTTAGCTCATTCAAATGCTGCTGCGCTGCTCTGCTTGCTGCTTGGGGTCTGAGCTTTGGGAATGGCGGTGGCTCATCTCTCAGCACCTATTGGAGCCACTCTAGCTAACACTGTCACTACACCTTGGTTTTTGCTTTTTGCCTCTAGCAAATCCACTTGGAGGATTCTAAACACCCTTGTCAGGGATGGGGAGCAAGGGGGAAAGGGGTGGAGCTTGGGAACGCCTCCAGGCACTCCAGCTGCTTGACTGTGGGCAACTGTTAACTGAGCTTCATTTATAGATGGTGATAATACTGACTCCCTCAGCAGTTGAGAGACAGACACCTGCCCATGTATATGCATGGTCCTTTCCTGAAGCCACTCCCATGAGATTGGACCCTGAAGGAGCCAGAGGGATGGGTGCATGCCACCACCCTTCTCAGCAGGTAGGTCCAAGTGAGCCAGTCTGGAGAAATCACAAGGGACCTCATGCTGATCAGTGGCCAGTCGGGTAGCTGGACATCGGAGATTACATCATAAGGAAGCAATTTCTAACTCCTCAGGCAGGAGTTAGAAAACTTCTGTAGAGGGCTAGACGGCAACACTCTATAAACTTTTTAGGCCACCTGATCTCTGTCGCCAAGTACTCAATTCTTGTTGAAAATAGCCAGAGACAATGAACAGGTGGGCCTGGGTGTGTTCCAGGAAAATTTTATTTACATAAACAGGCAGGAGTGGGAGTGGGGCTGTGAGTGCACATCATGTGCTGGGGCACCCACAGCAGCAGATGCCCCCTGCAGCCCTCTTCCTGGCCCCAAGCCAGCAGCCTTGCTTCATTTTATAAAATGCTGTCACTGGAGGGAGAAGGTCAATCCCAAGGGCTACATTTTTAGGGAAATGACTGAGAAATGTCTTTTTATCTCATCTCAAATTCTCAACTTCATCAAATCCAGTCTTTCTAAAGCAGAAACCAGCCTTCTTCCTTAACAACCTTTGGCTTTGCTAACTTTAAATACAGAGGACGGGAAAACTGGGAGCCACGTGGCCCATGGAAAAGAATCCTTTTTTCTCTTGTATTTAGGATGGTCACTTGTATTTTATGCATGTTTCTCAGTGACCTTGAAAAATACAAAGTAAGGGTGGTATTCTTTGGATTTTTAGGCAGGCAAGCCCAATAGTGAATAGAAATGCCTGAAACAGTCTGCAGGGTCTTGCCTGATAGGCTGAGTCACTCAAAATCTGAGCAGAAGAGAGGTGGGCTCTCTCTCCTTTGTGTAAAGTAGAATCCATTAAAAATGCCTTTACATTTTAATTGAAAAGTTTTCATTCACCAGGTGTTTTGAGTCAAGTCTGAGAAATAGCCCCATTGGCTAAAACATTCTCAACTGTCTGCCTTTCCTGCCTGGCAGAATTCTCCACAAGTTTGTACCTTAATGCTGTTCTTCAGTCATGTACTGTTGCTGAAAATGAAGATATCAGGATTCACTGAAATGTAGCCGTGTCCTCATGCAAAATGAATTCTCCAGGAAATAAGTAGCAGAGAGTTTTCTGATCAGTGTCTGTCATGGAGAGACTTTCTAATTAGGTAGTGTGAAAAGGACACAAGGTTTACATGGATGACACTTTGCTGACCACTTTAAAAAGAACAAAATGTCCTGCAACCACTTCCAAAGCCAGGAGAAGGCTTCCAAGACTGAAAAGGTAAGCTGCCTTTGGTAGAACAGCCCTTGAGCAACAGAGCAGGGAAAAGGCAGCAGAGAAGGGAAGGAAATGGCTCGAGATCAGATAGGAGGGAGGAGCGCCTAGCACGGGGCCTTCCTGTCACAGAAGTTGCCGACTGTTGCCCAGGCCCCACCAGGCAAGACTGGCATGGAATGTGGGGGGCTCCCTGAAGCCATTCTTGCTCTCATTCCCCTCTCCAGCTGCTGTCTCACTCTGAGGCCATCTGCTGACGCATCCTCTGTAAGACAGTGTTCTTAAAGATGGTTCATGAAGATAAACCAATACTCAGAAAGGCTGCATGTGAAAAATGACTCAGATTTGTTCAGCTCTTGACTCGAGAAGCTTCAGAGATAGGTATAGCAGTTTCAGCTCAGTGACCACAAGCTCACCAGGGAGCACCTCTGAGTTCCAGCTGGAAGGGGACTTTCAATTGCATCTGAACACACACTTGGTCTATCTTGTCAAGAGCGCTGACAGCTACACTAACTGGCACTGTAGCACAGATGCAGGATCCTGGCCTTGTCTCCCCACTGGGAACCAGCTGCTAGCAGGGCTTTGTCCCTCCCACTTCTTTGTTTCTATAGTCAGGTAACACTTTGCTGCTTATTGTTGGCCTCAATCTGAAGACTATTTAATTTTCAAAATATACTGCTCAGGAACAAAACACCTTCCTTTTCCTCTCTGCTTACTAAGTTCACATTCTGATTCTTCAGTTGGTTGGTGGTTATGGGCTGAATGCCTGGATCCACTCTTCAAAGTGAAGGTATGAGAAGTGATCTGGTTTGGATTAGGGGCTGAAGTTCACTGGGCAGCTGGGATTAGTGCTCTTACAAGAAAGGGAAGGTGGAGAGATCTTGCTCTCTTCATGTGCATGCAAAAAGGGAAGGCCAAGTGAGGACAACTGAGTTTGCTGGCACCTTCCTTGATCTTGAACTTCCAGTCTCCAAAATTGTGAGAAATAAAGGTCTGTTGTTTAAGCCACCCAGTCTGTGGTCTGGCTTCAGCAGCATGAGCTGAGACAATGGTTGAATAATAAAATATATCCGAACAATCATCTTAAATAATACACAATATGAAGAGAGCTGTGCTTGCCCACAACCTTTAGAAATTCTAATGTAACCTGCCTAGGCAAAGAAAGAACAGTGGAGGAAGCCAGGTACAGGACCAAGGAGTGAGTCCCGAGTGCTTCAGCTGAAGCACTAGTCTGGGAGCAAGGACTCCTGGGCAGGCCTTCTTCTCCATGCAGCTGTCTCCTACCACTGAGGGTCAGAGTGGTTGATTCCCAAGGGTAGAGAGAAGCTATGACCCTATCTAAAAATCATACATCCTGGTGGGTGAGGCCATGTGCCACCCGGAAGGTCCAGGAGGGGAAAGATGGAAATGCCAGTGGGTTCCCACCAGGAACTCAGAGGCAGACGTGCCCAGGTATGGGTATCAGTCCTCTCAATGCTGACCCTGGAGGCTGGGCATCTGGACAACTCCTGAGCAGCCAGCATAGCACCAAGCTTCACACACCATTCAGAGAACATAAGGGCCTGGCGCACGTCCATAATCCCAGCTACTGGTGAAACTGAGGCAGGAGAATCATTGAGTTCAAGACCAGCTTGCCTGGGCAACTTAGTGAGACTCCCTCTCAAAATAAAAACAAACAAAAAAAAACTCGAAAAACAAGCCCTGAGTGGAATGTCCTTGTTATTTATCATTATTGTAAGTTACAGACATTTAAATTCTCAGCAATAATTTATAATTGTTACAACTTATATATTTCAGCCATTAGAAGAACACATACACAGAAAATTAAAGTACAAAGAGAGATGTAAAAAATAAGGTTACTGTAATGTATCATAGAAGAGGTTAAAATTCAAAATATCAAAGACCTCACATACTGAAACTAAACATAAAGTTTAAAACCTCCCCAGGAGAATATGAGCCTAAAATTACAAATGTCAGCAACTGCCTAAACCAAAGAATCAACTGTATTTTCAAGGTAAGAAAAAAAAATGCTTTGGTAAGCTATCTTTAAATACCTCTGCCCTGTTTTCATCTGGAATGATTGTGTATAAACACAGGCACAGCACATATTTGAGACTCAGTCTCACAAACTTCTTTACTAATTTTTCAAACATCTTCATAGTTCAGTAAATGAGAAAAGTGATTCAGTCTTTTGAATTTTAAGTTTAAAAAAAAATTAAAAGTATTTCCAGGAATCTTACAGCTCTCTATCCAGAAGTAGAAAATGATACACACCTTCAAACTCTGAAGTGTTCACATTTTTTGAAGCTCAGTATAGGATAGAGAACTTGTTCTTAATATGACAGCCCACAGACTTCTGCGCATACACGACCTTACATGGTGGGAGAGCTCACAGGGGCCTGCCTTCCTCACTGGCCTGGGCTTCAGCCATGACCGTGACCATAGCCTGGTCAGCGCTCCTTCCAGCCTACTTCCACTCTCAGCTTCCCTGGCACATAACCTGTCACTCCTCGATTAGTTCCTCCTTGGGGGATTCAAGCTCACTCAATAAATCTTTGCCAGCTGCTCCAGCTTTTGAAGCAAAAAGAAGTGCACCCTGTTTAAATCCAAGGTTCTTCAAGCTTCGAGCATAATCTGCATATATAGCAGTAGTAAGTTTCTGTAAACCACAGTTAAGGAAAGAAGAGCAGAAAGAGTGGGACTGATGCTCCACACAGGATCCCAGGGGCAGGAGAAATGCCAGCCCTACCCTAGGGGGACCTGACACCCACGGTGGGTGGGCAGCACAGCATAAGTGCAGGCAGCTCTGTGCAGAGAGAGGTGATGTCTCAATCTGTAACATCACTGCACTCTGTGCCAGCTGAGTGGACGCTTCTCCTTCCTGAGGATCAAGCAACATCTTTCCAGAGTCTCCCACCACCTACACCCAAGTGAAAACTAGAAAAAGAAAGATGAGAGAAGAGAACCTCCCAGACACCTCTGCTCTGTGTTAAAGTCTGAGAGGCTGACAGCTTAGGGGGGGGGGGAGAATAGGGCGTGGGGCAGATATTCACTTCCCCAGCCTCTACAGATCATGGTGCTGGACTTTTAGACAGCACTGGTATGCTGAGTTTTGATATCTCAAAGTAGTACTTTGAACCAAAGTCAATTTCACCAGTAACAAGCTACATGTCCTTGAGTAAGCTTTTGCTTTAGTTTTTAGTTTTCAAAAATTTTGGTTTAGTTTTAGTTTAAAAAAATATATATGTGTACAGAACTAAATATCTGACATATGGAAATAAGGCCAAATGTAAAAACTCAAGTAAAAGTGCAATGAGAAAAGTAGGGCTATGCAAACACAAGGGATTGGAAGCTGTATCCTTAAACCTATCTGTTCAAAGAAAAATATGTGACTCAAGAGACATCTAGAAGAAATATTATGTTCTTGATTGTGGGTGGCCCACATGGCCTGCCTTTGAGACACATTTCTCTGAAGTGTTCTGTCTTGTTCCATATCAGACTGTCATCATGGGTGCAGTGGGAATCTTTCTTTTTTATTTTTCAGTATATACTTTCCAGATAAACACACAAAATTTATTTAAGAATACTATTTTATAGTACCAGGTCCTTATGCCTTTCTTAAATTATTTCTTCAGCTTCCTTTGAAATACAAACAAGCATTATGGAATTGGGTTCCTCCTGTGCAGTCCTCTCAGTGTCCCCTCCATCGAGCCAGGGCCGAAGCCGGTGAGTGGTACAGTGACCCTCGCTCCAATTCTTCCTCCTCCCATCTCTCTCACCTGGCTTTGGTGAGTCAAAACATGGATCTTTTTCAATATAATATCATTTCTGCCCAGGCAGTTTGACTAGAGAAATTCCAAGCCCCACTCATGTCACTTCTTCCCCCTCAGCATCAACACCCTCATAAAGGATATCTGTGTCCTCATTGATTTCCAACGCACCATACTCGAGACACGCTTCCACGAACAACGCGGCTCTGTCGAAGTACCGCATGCTGTCCAATATAACAGAACAGTCGTGAGCCTCTGCGGCCTAGAGGCAGAACCACCTAGGGGTATGTTTCTATATGAAGGTTTGTACACACGTTCCCAGCACCCAGGCCCAGTTCAAAAAGGGAAGAGAGAATACATAAGTCCTCAACCCAAGCTTTGCTTCAAATGCTTATGAACTTTGTCAAACACTTTAAATCACAGAAATCTACCAAGGCATGACAAAAGACTACGTCCTCACTGTATGGACTGAACAAATAATCTTTTGTCATGTTCGCCTCCTTTAGTTTTCAATAAGTAAATGTTCCATCAGAAGCAATGGGTTCCCTTCCTTGAAAAGGTCAGAAGGGACACCTTGCTGTACCCCCTTTTTACCACTCTCTGGGCTTTCCTTCAGCTGTTCTGCTTAAAGAGGAATCCTTCCTGATTCTCTCAAGATTTCTTTATATTCTTCTTCTTCTTTTTTTTTAAACATACTAAACAAGTACTCTACCACTGAGCTATATTCCCAGGTCTTTTTAATTTATTTGACACAAGGTCTTGTAAGTTAACAGGCTGACCCTGAACTTGTGATCCTCTTGTCTCATCCTACCGAATGGCTGGGATTACAGGCTTGTGCCACTGCGCCCACCTGGCAGAAGAATATATTCATTTTAAATAAGTGCCTGTTAGGGTTGGCTAATATATTGGTAGTAAAATATCATAGTTTCTAGACCAAATGAATTATGAATACAGATGGTTCAATTCCTTTCAGGTTTTTTAAAAAATAAACCTAAACTGGATACTTCTTTCACTACTATATCCATCCACCAGAGCCTCAAGGAAGTGTGACTGATCAATCAGGGCAGTCCAGAGAGCCAGGGGCACTCGAGATGTACCTGTGAAGTGTCTCCGCCACACTGAAAAAGCAGCCCAGAGAGAGCAGGACCAGGAGGGCCTTTGACTTCTGATTGACTTGTGGGGAGCAAAGGTGGTCCACCCACCGCTTCAGAACATCAGCACATTCTTCAGAATTCAAACGGACCTGGAAAGATGCCCACATTAGAAACAGAAACATCCTGCATTAAAATAATTACATCAAAGTGAGATCTGTTCCTATGAAGTAAACGCTAGCCTTTGCTTTACCAAAACAATGCCCTGAGTGGCTGCTTACCACAAATGGCAGCCAGTGACAGTGACCTGCACCTGTGGGACCAAGGGGCCTGACAGTACCCCTGGACTGCAGGCTGGGTCAGACTCTAGCAGAGAGAAGAGTCAGCTTCTTTCACTTATTTGTTACCAATACAAGCTCTATTAATAAGAAGAGATGCAACTTACAAAAAACAGAGGGAAGATAAGAATTTTAAGAAAAATATTTATAAAGAAAGTTTGCAGGCATAAAACACTTCCAAATCATGAGTGAGAGGTGAAGACAGAGCTTTCTACTTCAAATGCTCCTCTGGAATCACCTACCTTTGCAAGCCACGCTGCCCTATTCCATTCGCCATATGTCTGCAGGTAGCGGCAGGCGTCCGCAGCTTTGTCTATCAGGCAGAGCAACTGAACGCCCTCTAGAAGACAGAAGAGCAGCCCTCTCAGGAGACACAATAGCAACCTTCTGGACACATCATTAAAGAGTAAAATCAGCTGCCATCTGCTTCCATCTAGTCTTGAGCATCTTACACAGGCTGAGGATACAAATCTGAAAATCTGAAATCCAAAATGCTCCAAAATAGGAACCATTTTGCACACTGAATGTCACACATGGAAAATTCCATACCATGAAACTTTGTTTAATGCATAAAATTATCAAAAAAATTATATAAACTGGCCTTCAGGCTATGTGTATAACTATATAGGAAACATAAATTAATTTTCTATTTAGACTTGAGTCCCATTCCTAAGACATCTCATTATTTCTACACAAAAATTGCAAATTTGAAAAAAAAAAATAGAAAATCTGAAATATTTCTGGTCTCAAGCATTTTGGAAAAGGGGTACTCTACCTGGAACTAATGGAGACATTCTTGACTTAAATTTTAATAGAGTTCTACAAGGTTACCACTCAAGTAACCAGAGTAATAAACACAAATACTGCCCAGAGAATAAACAGGTAAAGCCCATCTCACTAACAAGCTTGATCACACACACTAGATTTAGTGTGTCTGGGATTGTCTGGCTTATCTCTCTTGTTTTTACAATTATTAATAGTGCCCCTTTCACTCTGAAAACAAGTTCTGGCTTAGATGAATAAATTACAGCCACTTCACAAATAGCTAGCAATAACTTCTTTCCTTCAGCATACACAGGAAAGACATGTCCTCAGTAACAAAGCACTTAGCTGAGCATGGGTCTGACCTTCGTGAGCACTGACAGATGCCACCACAAAGTGTACCTTACCTGCCAACTTGCCATTGGCAATCATGTTGGTTGCCACCAGCTTAATGGTGCTCTGAGAGGGACCTGATGAGGTGACAGTGGTGACCAAACAGGCTTTCAGCGAGTCACAATAATAATGCTGGTTATCTGCACTTGTTTCCAAAAGCAACTGTACCGCTCTATCTGTCTAATAAGAGAAACAGTTTTCTAATTATAATTAAGAATATCTTCCTCTAGTATAGCCTTTTAAAATTCAGAATGCGGAACACTAAAGTCTATAGCTTAAGGAATACATTATTTTCAAAAAATGCTCCTGAATGTTTTGTTTACATAAGCGAAACTTAAACAGAAGAGAAACACTGCTTCTCTAAAGTAAATATAAAAACAGTGGGATATTGGGTGCTTTCATCTCCTTGCTGGTTGATGCAGAAACGACAAATAATGCACAGGAGCTGGGCTTCACCCTCAATCAAGGAAGCCAAAAGCACAAGCTGCCTAACCACATTTGTGCCTTCTCACAATGCTACTTGTTTTATTTTTAAAGAAAGCCAAAATTTTATTGGGAAGGGGACACACACACACACACACACACACACACACACACACACGACAGTCTGAAATACTAATCAATTAGAAAATTCATGAAGTATGAAAAGAGTTATAAAAACTGACATACTTGACCCAGGAGCAGTAGCTGGTCTGTACATTTCCTGGTGTGATCATAAGTTGACCGCTTTACTTCCTGTAGATTAACCCTTTCTAGTTGAAATTTCTAAAGTACGAGAAAAACAAAAAAGTTGAGATGGATTATAAAAAACTTTAGAATTATTTCAATTTTACTGTACTTGAAAAGATTATTTTAAGAAAAGTCAGTTTAACTGGTGAGATTGCTAGATAATTAACTTTACCAAAATTCAACAATTTAGTAAAAATTTGGAAAGCAAAAATGTCGAAATGTACTATCCTTTGTATGCATGTCTGCTGCTTATAGCCACTGGCACTTGAATAGAACTGGATGAAAAAACCCTGCATGTACTGAAGTATTCTGATGGAAAGCAACAAAATTATGAAGCTATCTTTACACATTTTGAATAGTAAAGTTAAACTATGAATAAACGACTTGTTACTTGTAGGGAAATGAATCTTCTAAGCTGAAATATTTCAGACAAATAAAAAAATTAACATTGATAGTAAAATTTTAAAACTCAGTGTTTAAAACTCAGTGTTTGTAAGCTTTGCAAGTCCTGATTATGCCAAAGGACTTATTTCTATGATATGGACTTTAACTTAGTTTTTTTGTCTTTTTTTTTTTTTTTTCAGAGACACATATGAGAGTTTGTCAGAGCTGAAAAATTAAGGCCATCTCTCTATAGGAGAGAGATTTAACTTAGTTTTAAAGTTTTCTGAGATATTTAGAAAGAAACAAATAATCAAGATAAAAGCTTTAAATATTTAAATAAAAAGGTTAAATACTTTTTTAAAAAGTATAATACCTGAAAATAGGCATTTTCACAAAGGATATCATAGCATATATCCAGTGGGTTGCTCAATTTGTCCCGAGGAATGGCTTCCTTGGTCACCACTGTACTCCCTGACTTGGCCTGGGACAGGCTGTGCAGGTAGTGGGCCGCCACTGTCCAAAAGTGCAGCTCTGATTCGTCACCATAAAGCCTGAGGAGTGAAACCAAGGTTAGTTACGGCTCACACAGCAAGCCTGGGCCTGAGAACGCTATCATTTCCAAGTCCATCAGGACACTGCAGTAGAGCCTAGGAAGGGGACAGGGATGATGTATCAAGTTCTCCAGCTCTGCTACTGGGTTTCCAACAAAATACAGGGGCCTGATTGCATAGGGCTCCTGTGGACCCCAACATCTCTCTGTTCTATGTGCAGACCAACTGTCCATCTGGTTTGCCATTAGCAGACAACGTGGACTACAGTGGGAAGTTGTTTCTCTGGGACAGCTGGCTATATATTTACTCTGTGGAGCATGGAGGGAAAAGTCTTTTTTTTTTCTTTTTGTAAGTGACAACTCTACAGTGATAAAGTACAAGCTAGTGCTTCTGAACACAATTTATTGGTATATTTAAACACATTCTGTTTGTACCTGATATTTTATTATTATTTTGGTACTGGGGACTGAATCTAGGAGTGCTTTACCACAGAGCTACATTCCCAGTGCTTTTTATTTTTTGAGATCTTACTAAGTTGCTGAGGCTGGTCTTAAACTTGCATTCCTCCTGCTTCACAGCCTCCCAAATGGCTGGGACTGTAGGCTTGAGCCATCTCATCCAGCCTGAATCTGATATTTTAAAACACATTTTAAAGCTGTGTAGGAAAAAGTCATTTCTATTTAGAAGGGCCTAGATCTCATGTTTAAATGTAATTCGATTTTCCCCATACTTGTACTACTACTGTTCTTAAAATTAACAGTCAAATCCAGAGGCAGAACTCACATATTTTTTTAAAATATGAGAATTTGGCTGTAGCTTTTACATAAGCCAAGATAAAGTTAAATGAGTTAACTTGAAATTCTCTGTCTCTTATACAGAATACTTCAGAGTATTACCTTGAAACAAGGAGGCACCTCTGTAGGAGAGTGAATTCTGGATCAAGCAAGAGTTTCTTTATGTCACTGTAGGTAGGAATCCAGAGAGGTAAAGCAAAAATTTTGAATTAAAAAAAAATGAAACCAGATAAATCAATACAGTTTTTTGGGGTTGGGGGGTGGGTACCAGGGATTGAACTCAGGGACACTCGGCCACTGAGCTACATCCCCAGCCCTATATTATATTTTATTTAGAGATAGGGTCTCACTGAGTTGCTTAGCACCTTTTGCTGAGGCTGGCTTTGAATTCGTGATCCTCCTGCCTCTGCCTCCCAAGCCGCTAGGATTACAGGCAATATGTTCTTGAGATGTAAAAATTCCACCCAATGGATGTATTTAGAACTTATGAAAACAAAGTCACTTTGCCTCAATACCGAGATGACAAAAGGTGAGGGAGTTGAGAGGACCTGGGCCTGGAGCACCAGCATCTATCCCCCAGCAGGAGATGGTGCTCCAGCTCAGCCCTGAAGGCATGCAACAATTCCATGGGAGTTTTAGAAACTATGAACAGTTGCCAGCAACTGGAATCAGATTTTCATTGATTAAATTATTTTACTAATCATGAGGAAGAGTACATACTTTAGAGAAGACAGCATTCAAAATTTATTTTGAAACTATTCTAAAAGTAAAATATTTAAGAAAAAAACAGCTAGTATTTCTATGAATTTACGTTTCTAAAATAGATAAATTTGGAATATTCATAAATCAGAGGGAAGGTATTCTTTACAGTTTCCCACTTATTTAATTTTTGGATACAGAAAACAATAAAATAATTCTTTCGAATTTTCTACCAACAGAACATTCTAGGATCCTTAATTTGTTAAATATTATAATTACATGTGGCAATGTAGTTTGTAAAAATATTTTACACTTTACCAAGAACTCCATGTGGACCCACGGTTTTTTATTTCCTTTGCACTATTATTCCCAGTACATACTCTTGGCTCTGGGAACATATTAATTTCTCAGCCAGACCTATGCACACATAGTACCAGATACGGGACTCAGTTTAAATGAGGGAAGTAGTCTTAAGAGTCACCTGTGTGCATCTTCTAACACAGGGCTTCACAGGGGTTTGTGGTAGAGGGTGGCGAAACATAAGGATGTTAAACACAGATCCTAGACCTGCCCTGAGCTGAGGCCAGAGCAGTCTGGTAGTTGAGAACTTAGTGAAAACAAATGCTCTGTCCCTGTAATTATTAAACAGGTCCTTCTCTTACAATATAAGAATGATCTCTTCTTGGGCCATTTTTAAAACCACAAATTATTTAAATTTTAAAAAGCCCCAACTAATTTGTTTTGCTTTCGCATATTCTTTTTCTTCTAATAAAACTCACAGAACTTACTTAGACAATGAATTCAACTGTTCTTGAAGGAGAGTCTTTATTTCTTCATTTTCTGGATAATCACTGTACAGAAAAGATTTTGAGTAAGTTCATTTTCTCTCCATTTACAACCACCTTTTTCTTTACCAGACAAAACATTGTTTTAATATAGGAAAAAAACCTCTTTGTAGAGCCTAGTTAAAAATCCAGCTATAAATTAACATAGCAACAATGTATACAGGACCCATAAATCATCTTTAATATCTGTTTTTATCTTACTGAGTTATAGAAATGCATAAAGAGAGACTCTTGGAAAATTTATCAGCTGGCACTAAAAACTTTCAGGTTAAAAAAATTCATTTTAATGAAGAACTATAATAAATAAATAAATTTGCTCTTTCTGCCTTACAGAGTGGCCATTTGATTCCCTAAGTAGACAGTTCTTGAGAACACACATTCCATTATATTTTTAAAAAACCCCTCACCCAATGCCAATCTATCTGCTTCATATGACAGAAGTTCAGTCACATTTGTAGATTTAATTAATAATAGTTCCTGTGACTTTTTTTTTTTAAACTATTAGATAGATAGATGTTAGACTAAACATACCTCTGAAGCAGGCCCACTGATGCTACTTTTAAAAGAATTAGGCTTGGCCTCAAATCCCCCATCCTCCATTGGTCGTCTCCACACTCACTTTTTCATCATCATGGCAAGCCCACATTCAGACCGCAGGGTGACCATCCAGCCACCTGAAAGCAACCTATGTATTCCCGGCTTCACACTGACCCACACTTTCACAAGGACCCACAGAGACAGACATAAAAGGCAGACTGGAGATGTTTAGTGTCTCTGCCTTCTTTTTGATTGACTTTAAGACTCCATTCCTTCTGAGATCTGGAGTGTATACCATGGCTGATTTTCATGGGTGTCCTTCAACCTCCAAGTATATTATGAAAGAAAAATAAAAATGAAAAAACTTACACATGAGAAATGTCCAAAGAATACCATCCATTCCAAGGCTGGTGTAGTAAGAAGGCTTTCAGGGCAAGGGAGGCCCTTGGAATAAGGAGATACGGGCACCACACAGGCTCTAGACCAAAAAAAAAAAAAAAAAAAAAAAGAAAGAAAGAAAAAATTTTTTTAAGTAAAATAAGGTATTAAACTTTGGTACTACTTGAATCATAGACTCAGTATAATGACCAAACAGATACCAACAATGGTCGTGATTTTAAAATATTAAAAAATTATATTTACTTGGCCACTGGCTTTTTGTTTTTTATTTTTTCCTTTAATTTCTTTTTTTAATAAATGACAACAAAATGCATTATAATTCATACTACACATATAGAGCACAATTTTTCATATCTCTGGTTGTATATATAGTATATTCACACCAATTCTTGTATTCATACATGTACTTTGCATAATGCTGTCCATCACATTCCACTATGATTGCTAACCCCCTGCCCTCTCCATTACCTTCCTACCCCTCTGCCCTGTCTAGAGTTCGGCTCCCATGGTCCCCCTCCCTACCCCACTATGAATCAGTCTCCTTATATCAGAGAAAACATTCAGCATTTGTTCTTTTGGGATTGGCTAACTTCATTTAGCATTATCTTCTCCAACTCCACCTATTTATCTGCAAATGCCATGATTTTATTCTCCTTTATTGTTGAGTAATAGTCCATTGTGTATGTATGCCATATTTTTTTTATCCATTTATCTACTGAAGGGCATCTAGATTGGTTCCAGTTTAGCTATTGTGAATTGTGCTGTTATAAACATTGATGTGGCTGTGTCCTGTAGTATGCTGTTTTTAAGTCCTTTGGGTATAGACTGAGGAGAGGAATAGCTGGGTCAAATGGTGGTTCCATTCCCAGTTTTCCAAGGAGTCTTCAACAAATGGTGCTGGGAAAACTGGAAATCCATATGCAACAAAATGATATTAAACCCCTTTCTTTAACACGTGCAAAACTCAAAGTGGATCAAGGACCTAGGAATTAAACCAGAGATCCTGCGTCTAATAAAAGAAAAAGTAGGCCCAATCTTCATCATGTTGGATTATGCCCCAACTTCCTTAATAGGACTCCTATAGAGCAAGAATTAAAATCAAGAATCAATAAATGGGATGGATTCAAACTAAAAAGTTTCTTCTCAGCAAAAGAAACAGTCTGTGAGGTAAATAGGGAGCCTACATCTTGGGAGCAAATTTTTACTCCTCACACATCAGATAGAGCACTAATCTCTAGGGTATATAAAGAACTCAAAAAACTAAACACCAAAAAAAAAAAAAATAACCCAATCAATAAAAGGGCCAAGGACCTGAACAGACACTTCTCAGAAGAGGATAAAGAATCAATCAACAAATATATGAAAAAAAACTTCATCATCTTTAGCAATTAGAGACACAAATCAAAACTATTCTAAGATTTCATCTCACTCCTGTCAGAATGGTAGCTATTATGAAAACAAACAACAATAAGTGTTGGCAAGGATGTGGGGTAAAAAGTACATTCATAAACTGCTGGTGGGACTGCAAATTGGTGTAGTCAATATGGAAAGTAGTACAGAGATTCCTTGGAAAACTGGGAATGGCCACTGGCTTTTTACAACTCAGCCTCATGACTGACCCCTCCATGTTGAGTAGACATAATTACTTTACATTATCCAAATCTATCAATTATGTTGCCAATAGACTTCAGACTGTGCTACCCAATTCAACAGCCAATAGTCATGTATGGCTACTGAGCATTTAAAAAATGGCTAGCATTATGAAGGAAATGAATATACTTTATCTCACCTAAATTAAAACTGATTTAGTTATTAGATAACTTTTAGCCATGTTTGGATCCATAATTTTTTTTTTAGTGGAAAATTTTATAAAATCCAAATAGAGCTCAAGTATCTCCACTGAAATTTGTCCTCTGAATTAAGATAATAATTTATTTTGCAATAAATGCAAAATACTTACTGAATTATGAACACCAAGTGCTAAGAGATACAAATACCTCATTAGTAATAAGGTAAGTTAAAGGCAGCCCAACCAATATCAGCAGTAACTTGGCAGTGCCTCCAGTTTGAACATAATGAGAAAGGGCAGGTTTTTAAAACCTTACTAATCCAAAAGTACCAAAAATAGACTCTGCAAAGGCACAGACATTTCTCAGAGTTGACTTACTAAAGACTAAATGAGTTTCTCAAGCACTTTTCTACAAAAATAGAGTCTGGAGTATGTACCAAAGGTATGCTAAGAGAATACCCAATGCAGAAAGTTCCTGCTCTGCTCCAGGTAGGATCACAGGAACTATTTCCTTCCACAAGTATCTTCCAAAGATGAACATTGCACTTCCTAAGACAAAAGCTGACTTTTTTTTTTAATATTTATTTTTTTAGTTCTCAGCAGACACAACATCTTTGTTTGTATGTGGTGCTGAGGATTGAACCCGCGCCGCACGCATGCCAGGCGATCGCGCTACCGCTTGAGCCACATCCCCAGCCCAAAAGCTGACTTTTTTAATCTCTCAATTAAGAAGCCAGCAGTCTTATCACTAGATTCATCTCCTCTGATGAGTCCTTTTAAATTCTGAGTAAGCCATGATGAATGTAGTTTGTTAAAAAACCGCACAGAAATGGGTCAGAAAGGCACACTTAGGAAACCCAAGTTGGGAATGACTGGCACCTGCAGTTATCATGAGCACACATCTCAGCAGTCATAAACTCTCAAGATTAAAGTTCATTTATTTTCTCATACTCAAGACTTCTGGAAAATGAGACTGAAATGAAAAAATAGCAGCTCTCTCTCTAGATGAAAATAGCTTGTGGCAAAACTACTGGTTTCAGAGCATCCTTTCATGAGAATTCCATACCAGTTAACTCCTGTTCATCCATTCTAAAACATGTAGACTTCATAGACATCTCTAGGACTCGGATGCAGCCATCATCAGACGCCAAGATCACTTTATCTGATGTGCACCAGTCTACGTCCAATATCCTAAAGGTCACATTTCTTCCACTTCTTAAACTGCTCACCATCTGAACCTGCAAGAGTGAATGTTGTCATCACTATCAGACAGAAAAAAAAACCTTTATTATTCTGGATTAAACTATCAAGGAAGACAGTGCAGTGTGGCTAGGCCCCAAGCAAGGGCAGAACTCAGCAGCCTCTCCTGGCCTATCTTCCACATGCAGCTTATCTTTTAAAGGTCTCAAATGCAATGAAAGACCTGTGAAGCTGTCACCTTTAAAACAAACACTGCACAAGTAAAATATTAAAAGAAGAAACTAATCAGTTAGGAGAAGCTTGACACACCTATTAGACAGTTTTTCCTCTCTAAATCAGGAGAAGAGGAAAAACAAAACTAGCCCCTGTGACTGGTAGCCTCATTTATGTTTTACCCTCATGGGGCTGCCTACCTCTTTAGTATCCCACACTTCAGCACCATCATTGTACATTGCTATTAATTTTTGGTTTCCTTTGCCAGGAGCAAAACGAATCTTCCTCACCCAACTCCGATGTGTAGGTATTCCCCTAAAGACAAGCCCAAAAAAAAAAAAAAAAAAAAACAACAACAACAATACAATGAAGAGTAAATCTAGTCCCCAGGAACTGTCCAATGTATCTTTCTAGCTCTGTTTTTTATAACAGGAGAACAACTTTACGTTCTGGGATGGGGTCTGCATTTGACAGGAAGGCCTGCCCATCAACAGCTGCTTTTGCCTAGACCATTTGCAGGTAAGTGTTTACTGTGAATGATCCAGAGCTTGGCTCAAAGCCCTTCTTCCCAAGTTCAGGTGACAAGGGACCCAAGGCTTGAAGCTTCACTTGGCCATGTTTATTGGTCCTGTTTGTAAGTCACAGGCCTTCAATGAGACCATACCAAGAGGTTGCTTATTACCATTTCTTTTTTTCTTTCTTTTTTTTTAAACAAAGATTTCATTCTTGGCTCATACCTGGATACTCTGCCTTTCAAATCCCAAAAATTTAAATTTCCATCCATGTCTCCAAGCACTAATGTATCTCCTTTCCAAGCAATGCAGGTAATACTACCCATACTTCCCTAGAAAACAACAGCAATGAAAACACACATAAATAAGTTTTCTGGGTAGATCAATAGAGAAGGGATGCCTTTTGAGGGAGAAATACCTTGGGAGAAAGCAAGCTATATGAAGAAAGTAAAGGAAAATCTTTCCAGAGAACTGATTTTAACTTATTTCTCACTGCAAAAGGACAAATAAATTCATCCCAAGGAAAACATCATTAATTTCATACTAACTATACATTGATTTTTCTATTGAAAAAGAAGACCCAGAACTTTACTGATATTATCTCGAATTTCTGCAAAGAAGTTACAAACAGCAATTTAATTATAAGAATGAGACACAACTGTAATAAATTCAACTGGGAAGAAGAGGACTCAGTTCCCACAGATGTACAGAGGTGGTACTGCAGACAGCTTAGCAGCCTGAGTGCTGGACTCAGCCAGCCTGGACTAGAATCTCAGCTTTACCCACTGAAACTGGCATGGACTTGGGGCACATTTATTTAACCTTTCTGTGTCTAGGATTTATCACTAACAGAGTAGAGTAAGCTCATGAAACTTTAGAAGATGTTCCTCAGTGTTAATAAATTTATAAAGGTAAAGGCCTTAAACCATGTCTGCCACACTATAAAGACTTGATATACGCTAGCTATTAAATACTATTACTATTCAACTGCTTCTGTATTTATTAAATTAAGTCTTGGTTTTGCGTTTATAGTAAAATATAAGAATTCACATGATGTCCAATGGTTAGGAATAGGAAATGATGTTGACAAATTGACTATTAACCGACACTGCCACCTACACCAAATATTGCATAAATCCTTGTGGCAGTCAAGAAATAAAGGAGAAGATGGCTTAAAATTAATATTATAATGAACTCAATAAGAAATTTATTTATATTAATTAAATGAAATTTTGTATATAAATACAATGCTCTCAAACCTTATTTTTATTTTCTTGACCAAACTAACATAACATTTAAGAATTTGCCTTTAACTTTAAAAAAATAGAACATTACAATTCAAATTAGTCTAGAAATCATTGTCACTCGGGCTGGGGATATAGCTCTGTTGATACAGTGCTTGCTTTGCAAAATCAAAGCCCTGGGTTCTATCCCCAGCAACACACACACACACACAAGAAATCATTGTCATCAGCTTTGAGTTCATGGTGATGTACTAATACAACTGCAGGGACTGTCTAGACCTTTCCATCTGAGAGCAGATGGGACGCAAGCACATGGAGGTACAGAGGAGCTTGGAGAAGAAGGGCTGAATACCTGCATTGTGGTGCTAAATAATCCCAAACCTAAGGAGAGCACACTACTTGATACTGCAATGCTGCCTATGTGTGAAATGGGACATTCGGTGATCACAGGTAAGACTGGTATAAGACAGAGACATTCACTGTCTATTCCAACTTTCTAAATAAGCGCAATTACAGAATTCTCCACAGATACATTGTTTAAAATATGTCAAGCTTTCTCCTTCCTTTTGCCATTTTATATACTCCACAGTTCTAGGGTCAAAATCCAGAGGAAGAGTTTCAACTCAAAATGAATGTCAAATACTTTACATTTGAGAGCATATTAAAATAAATATTGGATTAAAACAAACCAAATCTCAGCCTACATTCTATATCAGTCACTGGAAAACAATTTCAGAATGTAAAAATAACAAATAAAAATTTGTTATTGATAAATTTCTCACATACTATATAGATGTCAATTTCCTTTCCCTAAAAGCAATCTGCTCTAAAATATTTACTAATTTCATTGAAGGCTACATTCTCATGAAGCTGGTCATTCCTTCAGGGAGTTTTATCTTGCTGGCAGAACAGAGACTTGCTATATCCTTACTCAGGCCTCTACGAAGAGATGGGATTCTAAAAACTCTGAGGTGCAATGACAATTCTGAAAAAAGCACTTATAAAATGGAACACTCACATGTCTAATATCGAAATGTTTAAAATTTCTCTAGGGCATGGGCTAGGGGAATGGCATTTCAAAAATTACTCAAGAGTTTCTACATTTTACTCTCAATGTGCAATAATTAGAAAACAGAGAGACTGGGCTGTTATTGCATGGCACTGGAAGAGCTCAGATGGTGCTTTCTCTGGGGTTCCAGAGGAGCAGCCATATAGAATGCTAAGAGAGCAAACTGGGACTTTCCAAAGGATGACTCCATTATGCTGAAACTCTATGGCTCAATTCTAATAATAGTTTTTCATTTAAAGTTCTTTACTATTATAATTACCAAACAAGCTTCCACTTTTGTATTATTTTATCCTTCCAAAATCCTGAATATGTTTGGCAATATTAGGTACCACTAGGTTTCAGGTGTGATTTGTTCTATACAATAATAAAGATCAAATTACATTTTGAAAAGCACTCTTGAATGTTAGCTTCAATTTAGAAGTCATAAAGGGTATTTTGTTTGTTTGTTTGTTTTAGAAAAAATAATCAATTATTCTACAATTGTTAATATGGAAGATTGGTAGCCATCTCCTAGGAGGTCCCCACTGACTCTGCCTTTTGGTACACATGGCCCTTGGTCGTCACTTCTACAGGAAAAGGGTTGATTTGAGAATATACAGCATACTACAATAGAAATGACAGTGTGACTTCCCTCTTGCTTTCTGCTGGATCACTCCAGCAGAAGCCAGCTGTCATACCATGAAGAGACTCAAGGAGCCTGACAGAGAGGGTCCTAGGAGGAACAATGAAGGCCTCTCACCAACAGCCAGCATTTTGTAATAGCCATTAAATGAGCCATCCTGGAAGTGGATTTGTCTGCCCCCGCTGTATTTGAAATAACTGCAGCCCTGGCCAACATCTTGACTGTAATTTCAGAAGACTGTGAGCCTGGTGAGGGGGTTGGCCTTTCACCAGAACATCCCAATTTTAGATGGCAACTTTAAGTAAATGAATTTTTTACTTTTTAAAAAAACTTTAAGTAAATGGAGATTTAAAAAATCTTCTCATTCCTCCATTTAACCATTCTAGTAGTTTGTATTAGTTAACAAAAGCATTTTTTTAATTCATCTGTTAAAAACAACCTGTTAGATGAATGTTGAGAATAAACCTTAGTTAGAGAATTCCATAAGGCCAAAAAAAGGTGTGGGGGGATGTATATCTATCGATATAGATGTAAATACTAATACTATCACACTTAGAATCTGATTACTATTCTCTGAAAATAATGCTAGATTCTATAAGTCAAATCTGAGAGAAATTCTTGAAATGGAAATAAACAGATGATTAAGTTAGACCTCAGTTTCAAACACAGTTCTGCCATATAAATAAGCCAGGTAACCTTGAGAAAAGTTACTTACTCTCTTTCAGTTTCATTATAGATAAAATGGAGATAATTATACACCAATTATTATGGGGATAATAATGAGTAGTACATGGCAAATATTTCATCAAACAGTTACAATGTTATTCTCTAGCAGTATGGCACAATTTTAATCAGTTATAATGTCTTCTTAAACAGTAAAATTTATTTATATGAAGTTTTCTTGAAGAAGCCTTCCAATTTAACTATGCCTTCACTGACTATGGATCACAAAATCTTTGATAAGAACTGTGATGGAGATTTAATCAAGGGTTAGACTCACATCTGGTGGAATCCGAGCACTATCTTTCACAGAGTTTCCTTCAACAGTGAGATGATAAACTTGGCCATCATTATCGGTAAATACAAAATGCTCCCGAGCAGAGATGTTCTGGCTGAGTTCAGATTTACTTTCTGCCTCCTGCAACAAGCTTTGTGATAGAGAAAAATAAGATCTTTTTCCCTTATAGTGACACTCATCATTAACTAACCTGCCCACAGTCCAGATGCATTAACAAGAGGTCCAAAACCATTTTAAAAGTCTAAAATAAATCTTGCCCAGCTAATAAAGTAAAAATATAAAATCACTTCTAAATAGTTACATCATGGGAGAAAGTTTATCCATTATGGGGGAAAACAGTATTATAAATGTAACAGAAACTTTTTTTTTTTTTGCTACTCAACTCAATCAACAGAAGAGTGGTGTTCCACTGACCTCTCACAGTCTCTGAAGCTTTTTATTTTTAAAATGGTGTGGATAGGGATGATATAAAAATTTGGAATTTCCAAAGCATTTTCTGTGGTGTACAGAATAACATGAGCTATTTCTATGTTTACACTACATTCATCTGAATTTTGGAAACTGAAGTGAAGGGAGCAGAAGGGCACAAAATGAACATATTCACTAAAAGATAGATGGGTGAATAGTATTGCATGTTACTGAATGCACTAAGTAATACAAAAATAAAATTAACTTTTCAGATTTTGGTTATACACTGAAATATGAAACCAAGTATGTTAAAAAAACAAAGTCTAACCTACTACAGCAGATGCCTTTAGATGATACTTGTCAACTTCACAGTCACAATACTGACAGTATAAATGATATTGGAAGGAAATGGCAAACTGTACCTAATCACTGAGGACTCCACGATACTCAGCTCTGTGTCTGAGACTACAGTCTGGCGGGCCATGGCCTCTCGGGTAGCAAGCTGTTTCTTCTTCAGGCTCTTCAGGTTGTGAGATGGTGACCACTCCTGTGAAGCAAACACAGACAAACACAGAAGTGCCAGGTCTCCTCTGCCAAAGCATCCTTCCAGAATATGGCACACTCCCCACTGGCCAGTACCACTTACTATTGCTGCATGTGAATTGTTCTTCAGATTGTACCTATTTATAGGAAGGCCGAATGAATGTATTTTAATCAGAGCATAAGTAGAAAACTTAATGACCATTTTGATGCTTTCTCTTTTACAAAATGAAAAAAATGAATTCAATTGTGGCATCTCCTACTCCTCAACTCCCAGGCCTACCCTTCGCCTGCACAGGGTAAGAATCATGCTCCTGGAGTCAGGGCCCATTATTAGGCCTGGCACTGTTCCTCTTGTTGATTCTTTTATATACCCACCAATTCCAACGCTTTTAATCCAATATCTTCTCATTTGTAAAAGTTCCTAAAGAGTAGTTATTTTACATAATTGCATTTCTAGTTTACATAAGTAGTACTGCTATACAGCATTATTTCTTCCTCTTTTCATTATTCTTAACATATTTTAAGTCATCTCCCTATTGGTTCTGCATAGTAGATAACACTCCACAGGCATTCACCAACATTTAATCTGTCTGTTCTCTCAGCAAAGGACACCAGATTGCCTCCAAATTCCCATCATGACAAATGACACTGCAGTCAAAATACTTATAAAAGTTCATTACTGACTCAGATGCTCAGTGCTCAAGGATTCCTACCGTTGCATCCCACCCACAGTTCACACTATCTGGTTTTCCAATTTTTGTTATTCTAAAAGGTATATCGTGGTTATTTCCCTTTGTGCATCTCTGAAAAACAATGAGTTTTATTTTTCTTTTCTTTTTTTTGATTTTTCTTTTCTTTTCGACAGCACTAAGGAATGAGCCCACAGGGCCCATACCACTGAGCACACCCCCAGTCTTTTATATTTTAAAATAGGTCGATAAGTTGCTGAGGAAAGCCTCAAACTTGCAATCTTCCTGTCTCAGATTCTCAAGTCACTGGGTTTACAGGTGTGCAGTGCCATGTCCAAGGAGCTTGAACATTTTTACATGCTTGTTGGCCTTTTGGGTTTCTCTGTCACACTCTGTCCATTTTTCCAGTGGGATTCCCGTTTCTTCATTGTTGATTTGTAGGAGTTCCTAGTTAACTTTAGACACAGGAACATTTCTTATTTGACAACGATACCCTTAATCAAACAGCATTGATTGGGATGAAGTCAAATTCATTGGTTCTTTTTTTTAGTCTGGACTTATAATGTACTCTCTTGCCCCTGTTCACAAAAATATTCTTTTGTACTTAGTTTTATTAATTTTATAGCCTTCCTTTTTCACACACAGGTCTTTAATCTTGTGGAGACCTCTCTTGTACATAGCTTTGGTTTTCTTCCTCAGGTAAGCCACTTTCCTCAACAATTTCCCACAGTCTGCCCATCCTCTGCTTTGGTGCTGTTTCACTGAACATTCAGCAATTGAGTATTCACACAGGTCTGTTTCTGGGCTCTTTGTTAGGTTGGTCCATTTCCTGTTCTTGTGTCAGTACAACACTGATTTTACTTCTATAAGTTTTATCATGTTTTTTAATATCAGGGAGTGTGGACCCCACAACTCCCACATTTACTCCTCGTTTTTCAAGGATAATTGCCATTTCTTCTGCTTATCAGGTTGCTCAAAATATCCAACTGGAATTGCACTAATCTAATATTAAATTAACCCATCCTAGAAAATAAACAGTTATCTCTAATTAATGAGATCATCTTCCCTCAAAAAATTTTAACAAGAAAAATACTTGGCAGTAATGATGGCAATTTAAGCTAAAGAAAACAAAATATACCACATATTTAGATACCTAAATTAACTAGTGTTTAAACTATAACTTACCAAAGCAGTTATTGCAGGAAAATTTTTGGACATTTCCCTAAGAAGGGTACAAGTCCTAACATCCCATAATTCCAGTGGTTTATCTTTGAATACAACTGCCAAATACTGCCTAAAATGAACCAAATATAAAATGAACAAAATTACTAAATAAGCTCCTTTTGCAAAAATTTCTTCATGAATTAGTACAAATTAAAAGTTAAATAAATCAGAAAGCTCAGATGACACATTTGAAGCATATCAATTTAAACCAAGTCAGCCCCCATGATTAACAGCTGTAAGGAGGTGAAGCTCTGAAACGACCTTTGGGAGTTACATACACCCTCCTCACATTAGGGAGGTAGATTACCTCAGAAGAAGGCGTGGCCTAGGTTCTCAATAACTCTTCTAAAGCTCTATTTCTCACGTTTGCCATGGGAATACTACTACCTACGTCAATGAATTAGTACGCAGGTTACGATAACAATTAAAAGTATATAAAGTTTCTATCATCCCACCACAGTAAGTATGCAACAAATAAAGCCACTTTGTTCAGTCTTTCAAGCCTGGAAGTACAGAAGGAAGTCGGTGAAAGCAATTCCACAAAGGTGAACTGATATCTCAGTAACCACTGCAAGAAACTGAACCATTATACATAAATGATGGCTAACATCAAGGAAATGGGACAGAGTAGGAAGATCCCTGTACCCAGCACATCAAAGGACTCAGAATCTTCCACTCGGTATCATGCCTGCAACTTGATAATTATAGGGCTTCAGGCAAGCCACATAACCTTTTTGAATTTTACTCTATCTTTAAAATTGTGTTAATAATACTAACCATACCTACCTCACAAAATGCTAGAGGGACTAAAGAGATAAGAACATTAGACATCATAATGGACTATGTAATGTACTACAGTACACTGCTTATTATGTCTAACATAACAGCATGTCTATAAAATACTAATGTTAAACAATGAGATACCCGCTAAGAAGATCCACTGCAAAAGAGGAGATTAATTCTGACAACAGGGAAATGGTCTTCTAGATAGAGTTACAGATGTGACAAATGACAACAGAAAAGGACAGTGTGTACTGGGAAACATGCACCTTAAATGCAGAGTATGTGGGAAAAAAATTTAAAAAAAGAAGATTGAAATGTGAATTTTGGTTCACATTATTAGAGACCTTAAATGCCAGCTAGGTTAAAAAAGGATGCCCCCCTATTCTTGACACAGTTAATCTGTGTGTTCTGAAGCAGGGAACTTCAAAACCTGAATGTTTTGAAGCAGGGGAACTGTGATTAATGTTTTAGACATGAAATTCAGTACGAATTTAGCCAAATGTTTAGAATGAGAGTGAAAACAGAAGAGACTGGAATCCTATCAGTATAAGCAACTCTCAACAATTTTAGTCTTGGAGCTCCTTTGCACTCTTAAATATTATTGGGCACCTTTAAAGGATTTTTGTTTATGCACATTAGACCAAATGATGTTTTATGTATTAAAGATTAAACTAAATAAACTAAAAAAATAACTTTACTAATTCATTTAAAATGAAAAAATAGAAAATATAAAATAACTAGCAATATGGTAGATTTAAACACAAGCCATATTGACAATTACACTATGTATAAATTATTTAAATACTGAAATGAGAAGGCTGAGACTGTCAGGCCAAATAGAAAAACAAGCCCCAATTACATGCTATCTATAAGAAACAAACTTCAAATATAAAGACAAGGGTAGATTACAAGTGTAAAGATGGAAAACTACAAAACACTAACCAAGAGAAAGCTGGAGTGGTGATACTAACAGCAGACAAATCAGACTTATTTCCAAACAAATACTAGTACTGAGGATAAGATATTCACAATAATAAAGAAATCAACAAGACAAAAGGATATAAACATGTATGTACCTAATAATAGCTTCAAAATAGCCAACGCAAGGAATTCTTCAAAAGAAAAATAAATCCATTACTAAAGTTAGAAATTTCAACAATCTCAGTCCTTCATAGAATAAGCAGGTAGAAATGAGTAAGAATATAGGAGACTTGAATAACAGTATCAACCAACTAGACATGACATGGAATACTCTAATCAACAGCAGAATATACCTTTCCAAGTTTGCATATGGAACATGTACTAACTAACATTTTGGGTCATTAAACAAATCACATTAAATTTAAAAAACTGGGATAAAATGAAACATGTTCTATGGCCACAATGGAAACTAGAAAACAACAAAAAGATGTACCTAGGAAAAGCACCCCAATAGTTCAAAGTTTAAAAATACACCTATGAATACTCCATGGAAATGTTAAAATATTATACAACAATTCAAAAAATTATAGGTTATAGAAAAAAATATTGCTTACATAGCATTAAATGCTTATATCAAAATTTCCAGGATTTAAGATCCTGGAACAGAGCAAATATGTCAGCTCTCTCACCACTTCTATTCAACATTTACTGGAAGCCATCATCAGTGTGATGAAGCAAGAAATAAAAGGCTTACAGACTGGAAAGAAATATGTAAAAGTGTTTTGCCAGGTGAATCACTGCAAGCCTATAATTCCAAAGGCTTGGGAGGCTGAGGCAGGAAGACTGCAAATTCAAAGCCAGTCTCAGCAACTTAGTGAGGCTCTAAGCAACTTAGCCAGACCTAGTCTCTAAATAAAATACAAAAAGGGCTGAGGATGTGGCTCAGTGGTTAAGCATTCCTGGATTCAATCCCAGTACCATCCCCCTACTAAAGTGTCATTATTAGCAAATAACAAAATTATTTATGTAGAAAACCCTAAAGGACAAACAAAAATGCTAGCAGAACTAATAAATAAGGTCAGCATGGTCACAGATACTAGGACAATATCTGAAATTATTTCAGTATACAAATAATGAGTAATTGAAAATTGAAATTAAAAGAAGTAAAAAATTCCATTTATAATAGCATCAAAGAGAAATAAAAAATATTACATGAAGACTTACACACTAAAAACTTCAAAATATTACTAAAATTAAAGTCAACTCAAATATGTGGAGAGAGATATCAGGTTCATGAATTGCAAAACATGTCAAGATGTCCATTCTTCCTATTCTGATATACGGATTCAATTCAATCTCAATCAAAATCATAGAAAGCTTTTTTGGTAAAACTGATAAACTGACCCTAAAATTTATATGGAAATACACAGATCCTGAAAAAGCTAAAATAACTTAGAAAACTATTAGGACGCTTACTCTTTCTTTGTTTTTTTGACTGACTTTCATTCAGTTTCTATTTTTAATAATTCTTTTTACATGTATTTTCTCTTGGAACAAAAAATTTCTAAAAATAAATGGGTCTAAATTATAAAGAAAATGAGTTCTTTCACTCAATAACCCCATGCTTAGTGGAAGTACACAAGAATTTCACAAGATTAAAAAAATAGTTTTTTTAAAGGGTAAAGCACATTTATATCAACCCAGCTACCACAGATCAAAAAGTAGGCCACTGGTTTTATTAATCTAATGACATGTTAAGATTTCCCCAAATTACTTCTCTCTTTCAGAAGTGGGGAATTTAAAGTGATAGCAATTTAATTTGATGGCCAAAATATTTTCTTTGATGTGGGTGCACATTACCATTTGTAATCACCAAGATATTTCATATGTAGTTTAGTATATTCCCTCTTTCTTAAAAATCTTTTAACAAATCTATAAGATTTCATTAGATAACACCATAGATTTCTTCAGGTTGACACTTACTTCAAATGAGATACTTTAATCATTTCAATGGGCGATTCATCACTCCCTCGTTCACCACGAAAAGCAATGCTCCTTCCTTTAATTGCAAACATTAAAGAAAATGTGAAAAAGCACCAAAAACATGTAAGAAATAAGAAGCTATACTGATATCATCTGATCAGTGCTATCCTGTCTTCTCCTGTTCATTCTTCCATTTACTTCTAAGATGTTTCTAATAATTAAATTCAAAAAATAGTTCAATATACAATGACCTATCACTTATATTTAAATATCTATTTTATAAAAAGACATTTTCATTTGTTTTAAAGTTTATTAAATACCATTTTCTAAAATTTTAAAGCATCTATAACAAAGCAATTGTCTACTACAAAAACTACACATATATTTAAAGTCCTATAAAATCTTCTAGGTTTCCAAATACTAAGTAGCAGAAAAAAGTCTCTTGGAACAAGTATTGAATATTTCTTGTCCCACATGCAAAATAAAGTATTTTGAACATGTTGCCACCAAAACACCTCTATACATGGAATTTAGGGAACTATAACTACAGTGCTTATGTATGCTGTATAATTAGTTAACTGCTAGAAGAAAGAAAATGTTTCTTGTTTCTCTATGAATAAAAAGTACACAAATTTTAATTCATGTCTTAATAAACATTTTAATTCATTTTTTAGATTTTGTTTACCTTAAATAAAAGAGAATATAATGAATTAAAAGATGCTGAATGCCTCTCTGCTAAAGGCAGTCAATCTCATAGAATCTTACTATGCTATTTTTGTACCCCACAAACCTGGTCTGCTGTCTTCCTCAGAGGAAACTACAGGCTGGAAACTCCAATGCCTACTGGAGGAAGTCAGTAACTATTACTCTTGGCATTCATTCCTCAAAAGGTAAATTTTTAGTTACTTAACAATCCTGACTTAATCCCATTGGAAAAAAACAAGCAAGGAGTTTTTGGTTTTTTTTGTTGTTGTTTGTTTGTTTTCAGTGAATGCTACTAGAAAATGACATTGTGGGACACTACATTACTGGAGAGAGGGCCAGGGCATTGGCAATCAGGAAGCTGGGGCTGAAGGTCACTCCCACAGGTAACAACCTTTTGAGACTACACTGGAAAAGGTGGGGCTAATTCTTTGAGTTAAGAACAACTATATCTTTGAGAACTTGGAAATATATATTGAGACTATACAAAAGAAATCATGCATGTGACTTATTACATACATGTGTCCTTATTACTTAAAATCATCTATATTAATTTTATTACATCATTTTAAAGAAACTTTTGTTTAAAAATACCTATTCAAAATCACAGCCCATGTTATAACATGATGAAACTCAAAGCAATTTTCAACTGCTTTATTTTGAAACTCATTGGATTGTTTTAAATAATTTTGAATAAGTTATTTTACTGGAATGTTTTCTATTATGACATCTTCAAACTACCCATTGAGTTTTCCTTTCAGTCAGCCAGAGACTATCAAGACTATATTTTAACATTTAAAAATTATTTTGGGGGGTTGGGAAGAAGAGAAGTTCACTGGATTAGACAAAGGAGAATGAAGGGAAGGGAGGGGGGATGAGAATAGGAAAGACAGTAGAATGAATCAGACATAATTCTCCTATGTTCATATACAAATACACAACCAGTGAAACTACACATCATGTACAACCACAAGAATGGGATCCTAATTAGAATAATTTATACTTCATGTATGTATGTCTAAATACACTCTACTATCATGTATATCTAAAAAGAACAAATAATTTTTAAAAATGAAAACTATTCTTAATCTATAAGTTTTTAAAGGAGTTTCCTACAAAGGCTCAAACTTTTTTTTGCAGGGGGAGGGAGACAGGGACTTGAAGTCAGGGGCACTTTACCACTGAGCTACATCCCCAGTCCTTTTTATTTTTTATTTTGAGACAGGTTTTTGGTAAGTTGCTGAGGGTCTGGCTATGATGCTAAGGCTGGCCTCCAACTAGCGATCCTCCTGCTTCAGCCTTCTGAGTCAACTAAAGGCCCAAACTCAAAGCAGAGAAGCTAAAAGTCTAACTATAAACAATTATTTTAAAATTAATATTTAGTTATATATAACAAAATACTTCAACTGGACTGAGTATCATATTTTTTTAATGAATCTGTCTGTTTAGGCTAATGTTATTCCATTTTATCATGTATTTGTGTTAACAATGTTTCCCTAAAAACAATGATGATATTTTTCTGGGGCAATTATTACAAAACAAAAGAATGAATATATAATCACAGAATGTAAGAAAAAACTCCTAAGTGAAAGAAAATATTCTGGAACATGTTCTATAAATAGCAGCATCTTTGACAAATGTGACAAACAATGGTGAATCTTTTAACAGTCTAAACATACAAACCTGTTGGAAGGTCAACCAGTTGAAGTTCATTTCTCACTAATCCCATATTGTTTGGTGTTGAGGTAGCAAAAGAAAGAAAACCTGTCAAACTTGTCCATTCAATACCCCTAGAAATAACAAAGATTAATACATTTTTTTGTTTGGAAAGTTTATTTGAAAAATAAGGTTTTCCTAATATCTAATTTTACTATAAATTTCAATTAAAAACTACTAGTGTTTTAATATTAAAAATACTTTAATTCAGAACTTATTATCATATATTTCTGACACAAAATTATTTCTAATTTAAACTTTATCTATGGATATAGTAACATGATAATCATCAGAAGTCATGCTATCATTAAGAGGATTATTAATATTTGTCTAGGGAGTCATATCACAGTAATTTCCAAGAATTTCAATTGCTTAAAAAAAAAGTGCTACAGGAATATTCTGAGTACAACGGTTAAAGTTGAGTACATTTAGGAATTTTATAAATTTTATCAAAATCTTAGTTAAACAGAAATTCTTAAAGCAAAGACTATGAACTGAGCCATTTCATATGGAAGTAGATGAAAGTTTCAAATAGTATATCAATTAGAGAAAAGCATAAAGCAAAGTCTCAAAAAGAAAGACATGGCTGACACAACAGCAACTGAAAAATCCAAAGCCCTGGGGGTCTTGTGAATGTGGGACTTGACAATAAGTGACAACACATTTCTTCCTGCTAACAAAACTAGACAGTGTAAACCAACACAACACAGAGGGGGAAAAGAAAAGGTGCCATGGAACAAGAGGATTCCTCAGAGTCCCGAGAAAAAGGCTCTATGTTGCTTCTATGCAGTGAAAGCTGGCTGGGAGTGAAATCTAAATTTGGTTCTATATGCAACTGCTCATTGGTACTTAGGGATAGTGTTTTCAAAAACAAAGTATTGTCAATGGCTGCTCTCAAAATACAAAGACAGAGTTGAGTAGTTGTGATAGAGGTTTTATGACCTAAACATCATAAGCCTAAAATATTTATTATCTGTCCCTTAACAGAACACATTTAACAAACCCTGATCTAGTCTATCCATTTCTAAACTGATTTGAATGCAATTGCTAGTATGAATATTGCTTTACATTTCTTGCTCATTTTCCCAAGGAGGTATAATGGCTTCCTGCATCAGGTCCAAACTCCTCTCTGTGGCTTTCAAGGCCATCTACCTCATCCTCCCTAACTAAACTCCAATCATATGCATCTTATCTGCTACTTTACTAGAGTAATCTGACTCACTCATCCCTATGAATGTACCTGCATTCTTGTCTTTTAGCAGAGGAACAAACATAATCCAAAGAGAACTAAAACAAATATTTCCAATAGGAGAAGACAGTTTTTGTTATCTAGGTTTTCTTAAATGTAAAATTGTGTTAAAACAGAACTTAAAACTGAGTTCTTAACTGAATCCAGAATCTTTTGCGTGTGAGGCAAGCACTCTACCAACTGAACTATATCCCCAGCCCATTGATTGAATTTTTGTACCTAAAATGACCACTCTCCTTCCCTCTACAGATGCTGCTATAGTTAAGAACCGGCTATAACATTTATTCACTGTGATTTCTCTGCATCTCTGTTCCCCCACTTATAAAGTAGAAATAGCAATATTAAGTGAAAATAGAAGGACTGGCACATAACCCATGCTCCATGCATTGGTAATCACCACCTTCATAATTACTACTCTTATTTCAAGAGCTAACTCAAGCCCCATTTTCTTCATCAGGTCTTTCCATGTACTGAACTCAAATCACACCCACAATGAACACCATATAATTTCATTAATTATTCACTAGAAAAGTTCCTTTGTCTCTTGTTTCTTTTTTCTTTTCTCCCACAGGTAACAACACTCATTAATTTTTCTGCATAGCATGAACAAAAGAAAAGGAGTCAATTTGGAGTTACTCCACTCTCTTTAAGTCTAGTAGCTTTAATCAGATCTATTTGACCACAAAAACCCTAAGACCCACCCTCCAAGCCTTGTCCCTAACAGTGTGAACTACCTCCAGTACAGTGATGCCACTATCTCTAGACACTAATAACTCTATCCTCCCATTCCTCATTCATGATTTTTAAAAATTTATCTGTTAAGTACCAAGTTAGTGACTGTGCTGTCCTTCTGGAGCTTACATTCTAACAACAAAGAGACCCCATACATGTACGTTCTGCATTACCTGTTGTGAGAGACACTGCTGTGGAGCTCAACAGGGGCTGTTTTAAGAGTCACCCATGACTTGGTCTCAGGGCAGGCAGGGCTTCCTGGAAGACCATTAAAGCTGACACCCAAAGGGCAAATAGGTTTTGACCTAAGCCTGAGCCACTGAGGAAACAAGTGTGAGTGGCTGAGGAACAGTGTGCTAGACTGCATTCTGTGAAGGGAGGTATTATGACTCTCCAGGCATGTGACAGGCACTTGGGGATTCTGTTAGACTTAATGAATGATGTCCAAGAAAAGCTTAGCACTCTTTCTTGTGTTTATTAGTGCTGTGAGTTCTTGTTGCCCAAAGCTTGGTCCTTGTCCCTGATGCCAATCCAATAACGAGGACAGAGTTTTGAGAAAAAGGAAAAAGGAGGCTTATTGCTTTGCTAGCAAAGGAGAAACACAGGGGACTCCTGTTCCAAAGGCTGTGATTCTGCCCATCAGCAGGAACAGGGGGCTTTTTATAGAGATGATTCAGAGAAAATGAGATTAGGGAGGAGGAGGTTAGGGAAAAGAAGATCAGAGAAAAGATGATCAGGGAGAAGAAGGTTGGGAAAAAGCAAAAAAAAAAAAAAACCACACGTAAGTTTGAAAGACACAAGGGATATAGTCAAAGCATCAAGTTACATCCCAGTGTGTGCAGGATGTACAGATCCAAAATGGGCCATCTGTAATCTAGCAGAAGCATGTTGCCTTTGAACAGATTATGGTGGAAGCTGATATATCCAATAACCACAGAAGAGAATAAAAAAAATCAAGATGGACTTCAAAGTGGATAAGGAGGGGATTATTTCTCAAAGGAATGAATAATTTTGTCAAACGAAGCTGAGCTCACACTGCCCTTGGGATCAGAACACTGCTATCTTGGTTTAAATACACACTAAGGTCTGTAAAAGACCAAGAACAGTAGCTCACTCACCAATCTAGGACTTTAAGAACTCCTAACCACTGAACAAGTGTAACCTTTGAACTTATCAGCAGGTATCTGTGGATCTGACTCCTATAGGTCTCTAAGCTAAGCCAAGCACACTGACCATTTACTGGGGCTGCTACATAGACTACTGCTCAACATGGTGGTGGAAGCACATTTTTTTTTTTTAAAGAGAGAGTGAGAGAGGAGAGAGAGAGAGAGAATTTTTAATATTTATTTTTTAGTTCTCGGCGGACACAACATCTTTGTTGGTATGTGGTGCTGAGGATCGAACCCGGGTCGCACTCATGCTAGGCGAGAGCGCGCTACCGCTTGAGCCACATCCCCAGCCTGGAAGCACATTTTTGAAATGCCTAAAAGTACTAAGATTCTTCTGCAAATTTATAGACAAGAATGGAGATCACCTTACTTTCTACAAATCAATCAATTTAATTAAAGTCAATCAGTGTTCTGATATCTATAAAAACTACTGTTAATAATTTTTGACACCCAAAATAGTACTGGGCAATATTATTTTAAATAGCCTAGTATACACAAACACAAACTAATAATCTAAGAAAATTAACATGTACCACTTCACCTTGTTCACTTTTAGGTTTTCTCCAATGAATTATAAGCATCAAAGCCTTTGGCTCAATAGATGTTTATAAAGCATTCTGGTTAAAAGATCACAGTTTTAAAGCACACACACACAACCATCTGCAGTTAGACAGTCCCTGGCCACATGTATACCCAAGATTCATTTACAAGGTAGAAAAACAACTTTCTAAAAGTTAGCTTTAATTTGCACATAAAAACCTAGCATTTATTGGGTTTATTGCTAATCAGTTCAGAATTTTTTATAACACATCTGTGAAGTCTTCATAATAGCTTTTACTTGTAACATTAAAATTGCATTAATTGAAACACAAAGACAGAAGGATTTTAGCATCCTCTTGGGCAGCATCTCTAAATATAAAATAGATTAACTTTGAAATGACAATTAAGATGGAAAATTCATATAAAAATTTGAGCATCTGAATATCATCATCCACAACACTAGTCTGTATAAGCACCATATCCCTTAGAGTTGTTCAGTATCCATCTAACACTATAAACAAATGCAGTATTACTCAATCAGAAATGTTATCACAGCATGTGTATAAGTAATATACATAGTGACATCTATAACCTGATCAATCCAGGTTCACAGATCACTTAACACCAACACTTCACTGAGAGCTGCCAAAGGTTTTGGTATTCAGAAACAAAATGACAGCGAGTATGATTTTCCAGAAGCAAGTGGAAAATGCTTGGCATGAATCTTGGCCCATTTTTATTTTACTGCCAACATGGTTCCTTTTAGTATGGCATTTCTGAACAGGAGATTTAGCTCATGTACTGTTAAGTATATATAAAGAGCCCAGGCTCTGAAGTTCAAAAAGCCTAGAATGAATTCTATTTATCTCTTTCACAGATTACTCTGTGATTTGCGGTTTTTTCCTTCTCAAGTGGAAATACAATAGTGCCTACCCACTAGGGCTATAGTGGGTATTCAGTGAAATGATGCACGCAAAAGTATTAATAATTAACATAACCCTTAGAAAGAGCACTGGTTAAACAGAAAATTCAGATTCGTTGGTGTTAGCCATAAAAAAAAAAAATTACTATAGATAAAAGACGAGGGTAAAAAAATATGTGAAGAGCAGAAACATTGACAAGGAGAAAGAGAAAAGAGAAAAGCAATGGCAGCAGAGACTACCGAAAGAAGTATCACAATCGCATACTGCAGTCCTTAAAACAGAAGATCAACAGCCTGAAAGAGTCCAAACGTGCCCATGTTGCTGTAGCACTGAAGTTCAATGCTTTTGAAGACACCACTACTCCAGGTAAGTGTATCAGGAAGGACACAGCTTAAGATGGCAATATACAGTGATTTGGTCTACACAACAAAACAAAGCAGTAACCTTTTTCATTATAATCAGAAGCTGTGATACTCAAAGGGTTAACCTTTCTCCATCCAGAAATTGCATTTACTCAGAACAGAGAATTCACTAAAGGTTAAAAATATGAATGTACATGAGGCTTACAATTATGTAATATACAGAAGATACAAGATGACCTTTCTTATGCCTTCATTAAAGATCAAAAATATGCTGGAAATTTATATTATATATGTGTGCAACTTGCAATCTATCACTGTTAGAGCAAAAAAGGAAAGTACTCTTGCACTCAGCGGAATAATGCTATCAAGCAGGTAGGTGTGCACTTTACAGCAGAAAGCAAAAGGTAGACTTCTGTCAACTTAGCCTTTTCTAGATATCTTTGTACACACAACACTCCCACAGATCACATCTCAAAAATCAAAGAGTAAATCCAAGACATTTGGGAACTTTTCTGATGATATTTAAACAAAGAAATAAGGTTAATCAACAGCTAAAATGCCTTTATTCAAATGTGTCATGAGTAGTCCTACTGACAGATGGTCACCAAACTGAAAAATAAACTAAATAAGCCTAAATAAGGCAACATGGTGATTTCTATTGAGAAAATAACCTGGACTTAGGAGAAATAAATAAGATGCAGCAATAAAAGAAAAATAGGTTCTACTGCTTATGTCCTTTACAAAGAAAGCAATTAGTACTCATCCTTGATTAGCACAGCCATTAGCTGAACATTAATACTTACTATTTAGACTTTTCAGTGAAATAATCACCACTGCAGATTCATTGAATCAGAACATTTTCTGATCTCAACAGAACATGTTTTAGATCGCAATGTCACAGTGACTTACTCACTTGACTTCACATGAGTGGATGCTTAGCTCCTTGTGCAGCAGACCACTAGTGAGATGATATACCAGGATGGAACCGTTACTTGTACCTATCAAAGTGACATAACAGCAAATAAAAAAAAATTAAAAAGATGTAACAGGAGAGTATTAATTTAGTGGGAATTCAAACTTCCAATAAAAGTCTTCTCTCAAAATTTTAATCATTTTCCAACACTTATCTTTTATGAAAGAGACCCAAACTACATGCTAAACTACAATGCATTTCTCTGTCTTCTCATCAAAAATGGCCTAATATCAGATGCTCTGAAAACTTACTTGAGGGATAGGTTTGCACAGAAAAATTTTAAAACCTCAATCAATATACACAGCGATTTGAAGAAGCACTTTCCTAAGCTTTTCTACACATGGGAGTTCATGCTTCTTGAGATTGAGAATGTTTATTGTAGCTGGAACCTAGCTGAGCTCACTATCCAGTTTTTCCTATTTTTCTTTATAGTTTTTAATCTAATTTGACATATCAAGTAAATCATGACAAGGTAGTAAAATATGGTAGTTAAACTGTGGTTTCTATAGTGAAGGAAGCTTGGGTTCATGCTCTGGCTTTGGATACCTAAGTAAGTTACTTGCACAAAACTGAATCTGTTTTTGCCTCTTTAAAATAGAAATAATAGAAAATCTATTTGCTATAAATGAGAAAATATGTAAAGCACTTAGCACCACACTTACACAAACTAATTACCTGGTAACTAATATTAACTTGGTTAACCAGAATTTCTGTTATCACTGTAATGAAACATTTTGTGGCCTCAGGCAATATGTCTAAAGTTTAAACAGAAAAGACATGGATATACCTGAGAAAGTTTTAGTCTCTAAATTGTTTTTATAAGTTAAAGAAAGTAAACTGTGTAGTTGTTTGGACAACCACTTTTTCACTATGAATGGTTTAAAAGGACTAATGGATTTATACAAAGCAAAAGAATAAGTAAAAATGCTAGGCCAATTCCAATTTTAGATTATTTGTGAATAAAGCTCCAGTAGTATTCTAGATAACTATTCTAGAAAAATACATTTCAAGGTTGTACACACTGATCATCTATTCTCTCAGGTATCTTCTGGTACTGAGAAAGTAGCTGAATAATCTTCATAACAGTCAAATGATTTCTACATTCTGCAAGTCTTGATCTGTGAAGACTACGATCTAGTATTTCAAGGGCACCAAAGAAGAATCAGCTGCACTTATTTTTCCTAGTGACACTGCAATACTTTAGATACTTATTTTATATTTTTTGCTATTATCCTAAATTTCTTTAAAATATTCATTATGTGCTAGTATAGTCAGCTTATTTGACAATGGAAATCTCAGACCTTGACATATTTCTTATTATATAGCTATAACAAGAAGTAATTATTCCCAAGAAATTGACAAAAAATCCCAATGTCATTGTAATTAGATAGTGACATTCATTAGGTACACAAACATTGTATATATAGGCACTTACAACATACACTGACAAATCTTAATTAAAATTTCTATAAAACATTAAATATGAATCAATAGTTTATAAAGCAAAAATTAAACTTATCTGCATTTTTATAAATCTGAACACATGTAGAGACTATTCAATCTTCCAATTTAAATTGCTTTCAGAAGATAGCCAGAGAAAAATTAGAATACCCAAAGAAGTTATTAACACTTACTTACCTAATAACCTGAGATATGCTGGTCACAAAATAAGTTTTCATTTAGGAAAGAAGAAAAACAATAACAAACATGTCTCAAATAACATGTTTGTAGACATGAGGAGAAAGCTAGAAGCCAACCAATAGCATCTTAAGAGGAAATGTTCACTATTTTGAATGTACTCTCTTTTTCAATTTTAGAATAAATGTAATTTAACCTTACATACTTAAGAATAAGCTGATTTCTGGTTTTTGCTGTAGAGGAAATCAGGTTCATTTTATTATTATGAAATTAATAGCAAGTTGAAGCCCAGGCAAATTTTTTTATCTATAAAATAAGCATATATAATTTCAAATCAAAAAGCAAATCTTAGTTATAGGCACCATAACCTCTTTAAACAATAAAGAACACATAATTCTTAATACCTCATGAACACCGCCACAAAATTATTAACTCTGACTACATTATTGCTTAACGAAGACCTTCTACAAATGTTAAGCACAGACAGCCGGAGGCAGACCAAGAAAGACAAGGGCCTTCTATTCACCATCATGCCAGGCCCTCCCCCTGACACTTCAACAGCATCAGGTGATGAGTTTCACTGGATTAAAAATAAGACACTTTGCCAGGCATGGTGGTGTATGCCTGTAATTCCAGTGATATGGGAGGCTGAGGCAGAAAGATTGTGAGTTCAAAGTCAGCCTAGCAACTTAGTGAGGCGCTAAGCAATTCAGTGAGACCCTGTCTCTAAATAAATTACAAAAAAGGGCTGGGGATGTGGCTCAGGGGTCAAGTGTCCCTGAGTTCAATCCGCAGTACCCCACAAACAAACAAAAAGACACTTAAAGGAAAAGGATAGAATATATAAGAAATATGCTTCAAGATGAGTATTTCCACAATTTACTAAGCCCATTCCTTTTTTTTTTTTTTTTAAAGCATTCTCAAACAGGATATAGGATTTTCTAGAAATCAGGAGCCAAAACATCCTATCAAATAAGTTTCAAAAAGAGAAGGTCAAATACTCACCAACAGCAAGCAGTGGTTGATACATCTTGATGTTTTTTGTGGTCAGTGGTGGGCACATACGAATGGCAAACTGTGGGGAGGGCAGTCCTGAAAGCAGTCCTGTTAGCAGGAATTTGAGATGTACCTCCTGTAAAATGGAGCCTTTGGGCTGTTCTTCTCCAGCAATTGCACTTTGTCCTTATTTGTCATTAAAAATAGAAAATTATTAATTATAAAGCATGCTGACCTTCCTCTAGAGTACTACTACCCATTATTCAGAAACTAAAGTCTTCTAAGAAACAAATTTCAGCCACAGTTCCTGGCATGAGGGCACTAAACAGAGACTTCAGAACAAATCAAGAGAAACTGGGTTAGACAACACTTTCCACAGCATGGTGTGCTGGAAAACATTCCTATGTTACTGTCTTTCCAAAAGATTACTTTTCAATCTGCAGTGCTTTGTAAAGTATATATAAAACTGATGATCACAAAAAGCATGTTCAAAGAATAATTTATGATTTCTAATGAGAAACTTTAATGTATCAATGTATTTATAAAATTTAAGCCTTATAATTAATTTCTATGTAAAGACATAAAACATAAAATACATATTAATAAATAATATATGTAGTATATAAACTGTCATTGTTAACAGTTAAGTGTTAAATAGCATTATTTTTAGACACATGTTGTATTTAGGTTATCAAGTCTCAAACCAAAACGACTCCAATAAAAACCACTCTAACACAATGTAAATATAAAGATTACAATAAAATTAAAACTGTTCACTAAAAAAGGCATACAAATTTCCTTCCTATAAATCACTATTGAATATTGGAATTAACTTGCCCAAAACATAAAGATATATGTGTAAGCTGGGCATGGTGGGGCACACCTGTAATCCTAGTGGTTTGGGAGGCTGAGGCAGGAGGATCCAGAGTTTAAAGCCAGCCTCAGCAACTTAGCAAGACCCTAAGCAACTCAGTGAGACCCCGTCTCTAACAAAATACAAAATAGGGCTGGGGATGTGGCTCAGTGGTCCAATGCCCCTGAGTAACATAAACATAAACACACACACACACACACACACACACACACACACAAAGAATATGTGTGAGTGAATATATATGTATACACACATACACACAAACATGTATGCTATAATAGAAAAATATAAATAATTACTACAAGTGGGGGATGGAACCATGAATATAGTCCTTTGAGGCATAATGTTAGTAATAATGCTATTTTTAAACCTATAAAATATAGAGAAAAAATAACCACAAACTTAATCAAACTAAAATGATCCCTTAGAATTCGTCATACAATTGAACACAATCTCTCTGCTTCCCTTTCCTTAATGTACCATCCATTTGGTAACAATGGATGGTACATTAAGGAAAGGGAAGTTCAACAGGTAGGTCCTACAAATACCAACACTATTAGCTTAAGAGTTGACTCCTGGGAACTGCCACATTTTTCAAGTATTTTTCATAAGAGGCAATTCACAAGGTAGGGCAGATTAAGCCTTAATAAGCAGCAGCCTTTATCCAATGAATATAAATCAGCCTCTGTATTTAACTGAATTGCTTTCAATTATCACTAAGTACACAGTAAATTTCAAATTAAAAATTTAATTAAAAGTTTTAATTAAAATGTTTTCAAGTGACAAAGCTTTAATACTTTTAAATCAACTACATTGTCAAGAACTGCTATACAATCTGTATCCTTTTGTTTCTTAAACACTGTTGTTTATATCACTTATATACCTAAACAGCATAAAACTTCAACCTCCTATGGGCTTCATATTACTGATTATTTCTGTTCATGTGTGTTTACAATTCTTTCCCCTTTAGTATTTTATATTTAAAACAGACAAGGTCGATTAACTCAGAATATCATGTTACTGATAAAATGAATTCTGCAAAACATGCAAAATGTGTCCAAACTTCTTCATATGAATTTATTTCTGGATGGTGAATAGGAAGAATTTTAACTATAAAAGTGCCATTGAGCAAAGAGTTCTACAACTGCAAGACATCGAAACCAAGGCCCTGACACTTCAGGGTCTTGCCCTACATAGTAGAGCAGCCAGAAATGGAAGCCACTGCTAAGGAGCAGGCTCCAAAGTCAGGAGGACTGTGTTCACATTCTGGCTCTTCCACCAATTGGTATTTGGTATGGGGCAAGTTTTTTAATTTCTGGGCCTCAGTTCTCACCCATAAAATGGGGCTAATATCACCCACTTTGCAGGGTCATGGTGAGGTAATATGTAGAGTATGTAGCACAGCATTTAAGGTAATATTTAAGCACTCAATAAATGCCATTTGATTAACATGATTAATAAAGCAATGCTCATTGTAGAATAGCACCTATCTATAGCATTTAAGCAAAAAAAAAGTACTAAATAATATGCATTCACAATTGCATTATGGAAGAACAAATAATGACAGAAAAGCCTTTGTAAACCACATCCACAATTTTAAAAGGTATAGATATGAAAATTACTTGGCCTATTTACAAAATCTTATAAATTCAGGTTACATATATATTTGAAATCACAAATCCTCATTCTTCTTTAGTATGTACTAGCCCTATAATAATTAAGTAACTGAATATTTTATCTATAAATACCTGTTTAAAGTAAGGATTCCTAACATAAGAATATGAAAATTAATGTGTAAGAGTTAAAGTGATTTTTTTTTCTAACAATGCTGAGTTACTTTATTCCTTTAACTAACTGCACATCTAGAACACCCAAGGCCCTGCATGGAGTGCTGGAGTACACAAAATTCAATCAAACCCTTATAATTTACTAGAGGAAATAGAAGTAAGGCCACAATTACAATAGTTATTAACTATTAGGGGCCACACAAAAAAAAAGACATTTATATCAGGGTTGGAAGATTATAGAGAGCAATACTTGACCTAGGCAAAGTGGCACATGCCTGTAATCCCAACAGCTTGGAAGGCTGAGGCAGGAGGATCATGAATTCAAAGCCAGCCTCAGAAAAGCGAGGTGCTAAACAACTCAGTGAGACCCTATCTCTAAATAAAATACAAAATAGGACTGGGGCTGTGGCTCAGTAGTCAAGTGCCCCTAAGTTCAATGCCTCATACCCCCCACACCCCCCAAAAAGCAATTCTTCAGCTGAATTTTGAATCAGGGAATGGCAGAGAAGGAAGAAAAGGCCCACATCTAAGAGCAGAATCCAGAATCCAGTGATTTCTTTCATTTTAGATTAGTCTCTAAGGAATGACAAATACTAGTATCCACAACTATAATGCCTATCCATGCTACTTCAGGCACTTTTATCCTAATATTTTATACCCTTCTGGTTAATTTAGGAAAGAATGATTCTATATTTTAGTTTTCTCAAGTATTTCTTTGACTTTATAATAATTGCAAATCTATGACTATTAATTTTGCCCTTCAAAAATAATACCTAACATGAAAGTTAAAAAAAAAAAAAAGAAGCAGCTTACCAATCATGTTATCTAGGGAAAGGTCAGGGAGTTTATTCTGTAGCACTCCTACAGGAATTCCACAGAAAGACACTGGTGAATACAAAGGCGACACACCAGAACTACTGCAAAGACATAATAATTAGATGATTTTTACATATATAAAACCATGATTACATATTAGGAACTCAAAGTATTAATTCCAGCTCATGATATTTTATTTTTATTGTAGTATTATCTCATTCATAGGTGAAACAGCTTTACCAGGTATACATGCTTCCCTAATAATCTAAAGTCTTAATTATCTCCTTAAAATATTTTTTAATAGAAAACTGGCCCTTCTACTTTTAGATGATCCTACTAACTTTTTTTAAAGAAAGGAAACAGAAAATATAAGACACAAAACACAATCCCAGTGATTCATTTACCTGCTCCGTGAATTTCGACTGCACACAGCAGACTTGAGTTCCCATATCATGACCCTGCCGTCACTCACTATGAGGGCAGCTGCATTCTCATTAACAGGACAGCACACCATACTGAAGGGACGGACAGTTTTTGTAACCCTGATTGCATCGCACTGGCTTCGTAAATCATAGGTAAGCTCCTGAACAGGATCTGGATCTAAACATAAGATTGATTATTTTAAATGTCAGAAACATACCAAATGCACTACTGTTTATTTCCACTTAAATAAAACTCCAACTAAAAGAATGTAATTCTGTCATTCCTGGGGCTGGGGTTGTGGCTCAGTGGTAGAGTGCTCGCCTAGCATGCACAAGGCACCAGGTTCAATCCTCAGCACCACATAAATGTAAATAAAGATATTGAATCCACCTAAAGCTAGAAATGAATATTTAAAAAAAAGAATGTCATTCCTTCACTAGTGCAAACTGTTGAGTACAGCTTCACTTTTTACAATTACTACTAATTTCCTCAGAATATAAAGATAATTTGCTTAGTGTCTGCACAAAAGTTTAATCTATAAATTAACAAGATACTTTGTTTTAAAATATTTTAAAATAAAGGAAATGTTCAGAATCATATGTCAACAGTAACATAAGATTAAATAATAAACAATGCACTATAGACCATCATAATTTGCAGGTGTCTGTAACTCTGAAAATATCAGAAATTTTTGAAAGATATAAGCACTTTCATCTTCATGTCATACATCACTTCACAAAAATATTACTTCTACACTCCAAGATAAGACTGACCTGACAACAGAGTGCCCTGGAAACACGTTAACCTGTCACTTTACTATGGAAGCTCCTAAAGCAGAAAAGTCAAAGAATGTAATACTAAAGATGCATGAGGCTGCACTTGGACTGAAGACTCACTAAAAATAATGTCTACATGGTCCATGGATACCATCAAGAAGAAAGAATTACAAGATATCAGTCTCTTTACCATTCATAGAAGTAACACTGTTAAAACACTGAGAGACTGATCCTGGGCATTTCCTTATGCTGTAACCACTGTCAAGGCAAGTATTATCATCAACACTATGTGCATTGGCCAGCAATTACCAGGTGAGGCTTTATAATTATTTTTGGCGGGGGGGTTACTGGAGATTAAACTCAGGGGCACTCGACCACTGAGCCACATCCCCAGCCCTATTTTGTATTTTATTTAGAGCCAGGGCCTCTCTGAGTTGCTTAGTGCCTCGCTTTAGCTGAAGCTGGCTTTGAACTTATGATCCTCTTGTCTCAGCCTCCTGAGCCTCTGGGATTACAACATGTGCCACTGTGCCCAGCTAGGCTTTATAATTTTGAAGAAAAATATAATTAACTTCGTTGTGAGATTTAAACTCACCTGGTTCATCACCTGAAGTGGTGAAAACGCTACTGTAAGATCTTCGAACACGTAAGGTTATACACCCATTTTCATGAAGGCAAAATAAACCATCACGCTGAAAGCAGGGTATTACCTTTAAATAGATGACATATTTATTTGTAAAAACACAATAGCTAAGTGAAGCATAGATACTGTGAAACTCAAAATCACATTTAGAGAATATGGGCAAAAAAAGAAACAAAAATACATACAGAGGGGCTGGGGTTGTGGCTCAGCAGTAGAGCGCTCGCCTAGCACGTGCAAGACGCTGGGTTCAATCCTCAGCATCACATAAAAATAAATAAAATAAAGGTATTGTGTCCAATTACAACTAAAAAATTTTTTTTTAAATACATAATACCTAAATTTTTTTTTTAAAGAGAGAGTGACTGAGAGAGAGAGAGAGAGAGAGAGAGAGAGAGAGAGAGAGAGAGAGATTTTTTAATATTTAGTTTTTTTAGTTCTCTGCAGACACAACATCTTTGTATGTGGTGCTGAGGATCGAACCTGGGCCGCACGCATGCCAGGCAAGCGCGCTACCGCTTGAGCCACATCCCCAGCCCCTACCTAAAATTTAACACCAAATGAACATTTTAAAAATTCAATTTATAATTCTAAAAAAAAATATGTCTTCATCCATGTGTATGGGACATAAATAGTTCAGTAAATATCTCAGGCGAGGTCAGAAGAATTTTTAGGATAAATCAAACCAATTAAAAGTGCAGAAAAATAAGGAACACAAAACATTGCCATTTATTTTTTAATAAACAGAAAAAAGAAAGTGGTACTAATGACTTGGAAGATTATAGTCTTTCTCTAAATACCATCTCTAGAAATTTCTGGGGGTGGAATTTACAAACCGTTGGATACCTGCAGAAAGGGAACTCCTGTCCGTTCTATTGCAATCACGCCCACTGTTTGATTCACCTCGAGGTCAAGGATTAAAATCTCTCGAGGGTAGAGCAGCAACATGTGGTTCCTTTTTGAAGGAAGATATGCCAGCTGGAGGCAATCATTGAGAGTTACAAATTCAGCACTGAAAAAAGTATCAAGAGATGAACTGATATCAATGTTAGTATCAAGACTTGATTCATTTCAAAAAAGATTAAGAAAGATTTAATTTTGTACTTACTATGTAAAAATAGTCAATAAGAATGTACAATTATTTCTTGAAATTACCAATGTGGTTAGCATCCAAAACTTAGATCTCAGTGCTGGAATTCAAAAGGCTAAGTGGACATAGTATTTCTAAATTTTTGAATGACTTAAGTAAAACAGAACAGCATTTTATCCATAATAAGATGAAAAGTGGTAATATTATGATGGAATTCATAAAATAGTTTTGTTTTTACTTTGCAATTAGAAGCAAGAGACTGATGAAAGCAAGACTTGGGATTAGCAGGTCATCTCTGCCCTACTCTGCCTTTCTCAACTTTTTTTTTTTTTTTTTTTTGGCAGTGCTGATGATAACACCCAGGGCTCCATGCATGGTAGGCAAGTGAGCTATATCCCCAGGCCATCTCACTCACTTTTACACTGCCTAAATCTTTTTTGGAACAAATTTGGGTATTTCATTCATTATATCCCAGCATTTTCTTCTGTGTAAATAAGAGATGAAACTATGAGGATTGTAAAAAAGTGTTAGTCCTAAAAATCATTCTAGTAATTTGTGACTGTTGCATATATTTAATCATAACCTTTAACTATATTTCAACAGAAATATATTTACATGATAATTTTATTGAAAGGTTTAGAAATTTCAAATTGTTACTTTAGAGGACTAGAAAGGGAGAGAGATTTGTAGTGCAATAAATTCCTAACTGCCATGGATGGGCCTGAGTAAGTTTTCTTTCTCTATGTGATGGGAACAGAGCTACCACCTGGGACTAAGATTATATAAAGTAATGAATGTAAAAACAACTAGGTCAGTTCCAGTTGAAGGATAAAAAGTGCTCAAAATGTACCTGTAATTCACATAAGAGATTAAATCACAACTTATAAAACCATTTGCCTGCCAAATAGTTATTTGCACATGATAGGGAATCCATGAATAGTGGAAAGTTCTCGTAAGATACTTACAGGATACTCAATTCATTTTGGCACAAAAAAGGAACACAAATAAACAATTTAACCAGCCTGTGGTTTAATAACATAAAAACATTTATCCACAAATTTAGAATGTATTTGTAGTGAAATTTATATTTTTACTATATTTTTTTAACCAAAAAATCTAGGTAGCATAACTTTAGCATATTAAAAATAAAGGCTGAAAAAAAATAAAAAAAATAATAAAGGCTGTATCTTAAAAATGAATGCCAAAAAATCTTGCCAGAACAGGAAAAATAAAACTAATACATAAAAGTAGTTACTTAAAATTTTATATAGGTACAGTTTTTGTTGTTGGGTTTTTTGTTTATTTGTTTCCTGTATTAGGGATTGAACTCAGGAGCATTTAAGCACTAAGCCACATTCCCAGCCCTTTTTGTATTTTATTTAGAGACAGGGTCTTGCTAAGTTGCTAGGGTTTTGCTAAGTTGCTGAGGCTGGCTTTGAACTCACAATCCTCCTGCCTCAGCCTCCAGAGCAGCTGGGATTACAGACAGGTGCCATTGCACCCAGCTCAGGTATAGTTTCTTAAACCATAACAACTCACATTTTCTAAATGAAAGCTTACAAAGTAGAAACCACAACATGAAGTACTCTACTAACATTATCATATCTTTTAATCTCTATAACAATCCTAAGAACTACTTTAAAACCTATTTTAGAGATTGAAATCTGAGTAAGACTAAGGAATCTGTTCTGAGTCACAGTTATGGATTCCCCCAGAACTTAGCTCTTAATCAGTATGGGAAAAATCTTCAACTACATAAGAAAAACACTTATATTTTATTGGCTAATGAGAGGCACAGCAAAGTCAGGAAAACATACTAAAATAAAATTCAGCTTTTGTTTCCCAATTCTTCATGTATTCAATAAGCACAACTTCAGAATCATTTCATTTTTTCAGAAGTAAAAATCAGGAGTGAAAAATTTTAATCTGAAAAATTCAGTGGGGGAGTTTAGAATGGCTGGACGATGCAGAGAGACCATGCTAAAATGTTGGATCTCCTCCTATGGGAAAAGGCAGAATATTTTTTTTTTCCTCTAATAAACTTGAAACTAGGAAGTGAAGTGAGATGAAGAAGAATATCTACCTTAACACAACTCCAAAAGAATGCGTTGATATCTGACAAACTGATGAATGCTGTTAGGCTTACACTTTTAACTTACCTAGGTTTCTCTTGAGTGATTAAAATTTTTACTTTATTAAGAGCCTTCTTGGCTCCTGTGGCTGCAGCCAGCTTGTTATGAGCTGGGCTAGAGTGTGGGCTGGAGATGTACACTTTTTTCCCAGGTCCCGAGGGAGGCTTGGATGGAGAGAAGTCGGAGATGAATACAATACCCTCACTGGTGAGTACTATATTAAAAGAAGCAAAATTCTTATTAAAGTTTAGTCAAGTTGAACACAGAATTTTATTCCAATACAACATGAGAGAAAGACAATAATAATTTTAAAAATATAGAACATGCAATGTTATGGTCATAACATGATGAGAATTTTCTCCAAGTTGAAAAGAAACAAGTAATCCATTACAATTCATCAGAGTCTTCCAAGCTCAGCATTCTGAATTATGTTTATATATTAAAGAGACAGTAGAAGAGTGTTGGCAGAAAGAACAAATGTTTGTTCTTCCTGATAAATTCTGTGCACAGAATTTCATTAAAAACTCTGTAACTTCAAAATCCAAACACTTTCCAGAATATAAGATTCACAAGAAGAAAAATACCCCATATGTAAGATATTCTGCATATCACAATTAGCTAAGTTCAAATATTTGAATGAATGATACTAAATTTTGAAGGATTCTCATGAGCTACTCAGTCTTCTTGAACATCAGACTGTACCTTAGGATGAATAAAGACTGTTTCCCTTTATATTTAAAAATGACATAAGTCCCAACAGAGGATTACTAAATGTCCATGAAACAAAAATAGTTTAACACAACATTTGGCAATATAAACTATGCCTTTTTATGACTATAAAGAGACTCTCCTTCCTAACTGGAGCTGACCAATACTGGGATATATGGGCAGGACAACCTCATCCACCCTGAGTCTTAGCAATCTAAGGCTACTGCAGGCACAGAGATCAAGAAAGCATACAAGTTATGACAACCCTAGCACAGTGAAGTAAATAAAAAGTGTTAGGGCAAGTGGCATTTTGAAATATTTCCACCAGAAAAATTACAGAGACGTAGAGCTGATGCAACCAATCTGGGCTAACACCTTGTTTCCTTTCCAGGTTCCAGAATCATCTTTGAAGGTCTCACTGGCTTCTCTTCTTTTGTGATGCCTTCCCTCCCTGTGCTGCACTAGTCTTCTGTTGTGTTCTTGCAGCACTGCATTTACCTCAGCAAACTGCTGAGTGAGTGAATGTATGCATGCACAAGTTCATATAAATATTCATACACACAAAGGCTTGAACAGCCCATACTGTGGTTACTTTTTAGCCATGTGTCCCATTTCAACTTCCACTTGTCTGCCTTTCTCTGACTCCTTCATTTCACTATCACACATACACATTTAATAAAGACGGACCAGAATCAGAATTGAGTCATTCAAATCCAGGAAAAACAGCTAATTCCCTTACCTCTTTCAAGTTTCAAGTTTCTGATCATTATCAGAATGAAGCCTACTTTTACCATTATATCTATCACAACTTGACCACCAGATATTCCATCCCTCTTCATCCCCTTCATCCTATTCACATTCTTTATATCACTTATCACCTTTTAACAGACTAGAACTTAACTCACTATGTTCACAGTTTATGATCTGGCTCAAACTAGAATGCTAACTCTACAAAAGCAAGAACCTTCATATTAGTGTCAATAGCTCAAGAAATATTGTTGAGTAACTGAACAATGAGTATCTTCTAAATAATTTATCCATAAAAATAACTAAAATCTCATTTTTACATCATCTGATCTATAAAATATCAAATAGTGACAAAAAATGCCTCTGCAAGAAAAGATTCCTTTGGGCTTATTCCATTTTTTACATGCATCTGTTTAGGGCACTCACAACACATGGCATGAATTAGGATAATCTTTTTTTTTTTTTAATTTTTTGTAGTTGTAGATGGACATAACGACTTTATTTTATTTGTTTATTTTTACATGGTGTTGAGGATCGAACCCAGTGCCTCACACATGCTAGGCAAGTGTTCTGCCACTGAGCTACAGCCCCAGCCCTAGAATAATCTTTTTAAAAAGTAGAAACTTAATTTGGCCACAGAGTAAATCAAATCTTTGATTCAAGGTTTTTAAATATTCCTAAAAAAATTTAATTCAATTAAATCTGAATTAGAGAATCACAGTAACACTCTGTCCCTGGCTAGTCCGATATTATTCACAAATTCAACATAGTAGGTGTGGGTTGCTGGCTCATATTTTTAACTATTAAAATAAGTGAAAATGATAAGAAGTAATGATTTAGTACATGAATCAGGACCTGCAGATATATGGATGAGATGTGCTTCTCCATTTTGCTCAGTCATCTTAGCATTACAGATGTATGTGTATATGTGTGTGTGTGTGTGTGTGTGTGTGTGTGTGTGTGTGTGTGTGTGTATATATATATATATATATATATATATATTGCATGGGATACAGCATTAATTATATTGTTAGTACTTCATTTAATTCATTTTTTCCACAAGAAACCAATACTCACAAGTTAAATGTGAGGGATCAAAAGGGTCAAAAGAAAAAGAGAGAATGTTATCTGCATAGCTTTTCTTCCATAGTTTCGTGCCAGTATCTGCATTCCAGAGCACAATGTAATTTGGCGGGTGGATAGCAAGCAACAAATCTCGGGAAGCATCTTGATTCCACAACCACTGAACGTCTGTAAAGACGAGATAAATAAGGCAAAATTCAAAAAACTTCCATTTCAAAAGAGGTGGATAACTTGCCATTGATATTTAATTTAGTAGGTACAATCCCTAAAATCTTAGCACAATGCCAAACGTGATATATGCATTCTTACCAATACTGTATTGGTTTTAAGTGAGTAACATAAGAAAAATCTACAGAAGAAAACTTTATTTCATGTAAGAATGAGATGTTTGGTTAAAATTCCAAGTAATCTAAAATATCACTTTCAAGAAAATTCAACACAATTAATCATCCTTTAAACATAAAATTAGGAGTTAGGGTATATACCTCAGTGATAGAGCCTTTGCCTGGCATATGTAAGGCCCTTGGCTTGATCCCCAGTATCACAAAAAGAACAAACCAAAAACAAAACTATAAAACCAACATATGAAACTCTCTTAGCCACAATCAAGATGCCACACTCTCCAAATGCTTTCCTGAAGACTCTGAAGTTTTTCATGATTTTTCAAGATGATAAACAGACTAAAGATGTAGTTCAGTACCTAGCACATAGAAAATACTCAAAAAATTTTAAATTGTCATTTAAAAATTTTAAATTTTTAAATGACAATTTAAAAATCAGAGAGGTTCTCAAAGATATATACCTAAAGAATATTTCATTGGTTTTGGATTAATAACAAAGAAAAAGCTAAACAATCTAAGAAAATGAGAATAAAATGTTGTTCAACTCTATTAAACATTGATAGCTAATTCATAAGAGCAGTTCAACCAAGTTTACTTATAATATAGATTTCAAGATGAAAGCAGCTTAATTTTCTTATCATGCTTGAATGAGGCTGAAATTGAAATTAAGGGTTTTACCAAAGCATGAATCAATTGAGATTTGAGAAAATAAGCCCAGAATTCAGATCAGTAGAGCAGGCTAAAAATCTCCAAGAGTTAATCTGCAAACAATGACATTAAATGAGAGGTGGAGGGGAGGGGGCAAGAAAATATTCTGAGTAAGTACATCAATATAAGCTCTGAGGAGAGCACATTTTCCTCACCCTGGATAGGTCTGGCATGCTCCTGGATCTCACACTGAGCTACTCCTGCTGCCACATCCCAAACAATGATCTTCCCATTGACATCAGCAGAAGCTAAGCGCAAGCAATATGGTGAGCCAATGTTATGGTGGTAGTTTTCCCTGGCCCATTTAACCTAGTATCAAGAAGAAATCAGATCAAGTAAATACTAGCATTGGATAAAACTAAACATCATTTTACAACACATAAACCAGAACCCATACTATATTTGTATTACAAAAATCTTTAGCATGAATAAAAGGAAACTAGTTTGCATTTTGAAATTTGATATTTTTATTATACATGGCATTTTTCAAATGTTGCATTGCAAATATTTTTTATCAAAATGCCCTTGCCTTGAAAATGTGAAAAATGATGCATAGCCTTAATATTTTGGGAACTCAGGTTAAAATCAAAATAAAACAAAACAACAAAAATTATCCAGAATACTTTGCTTTTAAAACCTCAGAATACCTTGGATCTAGTTCCCCTAAAATCTAGTTGTAACAAAACATATAAAATCATGAATTGCTAAGAAGAATGTTTTTCTATATTTTGTTCTCCTAATTAAAAGGAGACAATTAGAGACAAACAAAGCCTCCACAGGGAAGCAAAGGAAAAACCAAAAGCAAACAAAAAACTCTGGTTCTATCACCTTCATAAAAATGTAAGTTTTTCTATAAAAAGAAATTTATGCTTCATACTTCCAACAACATTAAAGGACAAGTAAGAATAGAATTTTAAAAATAAAATTCACAACTCCAGGACAAATCTGATTAAATTCTTGGATAATGAATACAGAATAAGAGACAAGTCCTATAATCCTTACCATGACCTGAGACATTCCCTGGCCACTCCCAGGTCACTCTTCTGGTGGTTACTACCACTTGTTTTTTCTATCTTAGCATCCTGTTTGTTTTCTTCAAAGCACTTTATTATACCACGTGTAATTATAATTTTTTTTTTTAATTTATCACCAACCCATAGACTCTCAGCTCTCAGGGGTACATCCTGTAGCCCTTGTTCATATTTCTAGTACCAGACCAGTAGAGCACCAGTACAGTGCTCAAAGTTGATATTCAGTGTGTGTTTATAGATGAATTTAAATCCCAGCATCTCAGGAGGCTGAAGCAGGAGGATTCCGAATTCAAAGCCAGCCTCAGCCAAAGCTAGGTGCTAAGCAACTCAGTGAGACCCTGTCTCTAAATATAATACAAAATATAAATATAATAAATATAATACAAACTAGGGCTCAGGATATGGCTCAGTGGTTGACTACCCCTAAGTTCAATCCCCAGTACCCAACCCCCCAAAATTGATAAATTGAAGCATCAGAAAATCTCTAATTGTACACATATAAACATATATACACGTGTATATATATATATATATATATATATATATATATATATATAGGCACATCCACAGATAATGATAAAGTAGGAAAGTAGGATAACAAATTAAGTATTTATGAAAAAGATGAAATCAAGTTTTCCAAATATTTTAATAATCTTTAAAGTTTTACTGTTATAAATCTTCTGAGGCAAAAATCTTTCTAATAAAATGTGCATGCTATGCGTATTTTTTGTATGTGTTCATTTAGATATGTGTATATATTTAAATGTATGTGTGTATATGTTTATACATTGTGTGTATGGGTGTATATAGTCAATCTTAATTATTTGCAGATTCCACAAATGTGAATTTGCCTACTCAGTAATATTTGTTTGTAACCTCAAAAGTAGTATGTGCTATGCATTTGCAGATAAGAACAGAATGTAAAAATTTAGTCAGACATACACGTGTGTTCCCAATTGAGGGCAAACAATGTATTCTTGCTTCAGCTCTCAAAGCACAAAAAAAGGGTCCATTTCACATCTCTTTAAATATCACATTTTCACATTTTGGGGCTTTTTGTTGGTGACTTCATTGTTTAAAACAGCTCCCAAGTATAGTACTGTTCTGTTCTTAAGGGCAAAAAAGTTGTGACATGCCTTACAGAAAAATATATGAGTGAGATAGCTTTGCTCAGAGATATGCTATAGGACATGAATTCAATGTTAATGAGTCAACAATATACATTAAATGTCCTTAAATAGAAACACATATAAAATAAGGTTATATATTATTGAGCTGATGAAAATGTTGTGACCAGAAGTTCACACAACCCAATTGCTGGGAGTAAACAATGTTTCAGTATTCACCAATTCAGTGTTTGCAGTGACTCTAGAGAATATAACTACCTATAACTACCTTTAATAACAAAATGATTGTTGGTATATATATATATGCATATACATGTATACACATGTGTATGGTATTGAATCCTATTATGCAAGCTCCAACTGATATACCACTTTAAAAATCACCTAGACACATTATAGACAAGCTGCTGAAAACCAAGGATAAGGAGAAAACCTTGAAGGTACAAAGAGAGAGAGAGAGAGAGAGAGGAGAGAAACCAAGGCAAGAATTTCTCATCAGAAATTAAGTAAGGAGAGCATAGTAGAGTGAAATTTTTAATACTACTAGAAAACAAAATTGCCAACCCAGCATTTTATATCCTTTAAAAACAAAGGTAAAACACTTTCTCAGACAAATAAAGGCTGAGAGAATCAAGAAAGATATGCACTTCTAGAACTTAAAGTACATTCTTCAGGTAAAGAGAATATAATACCAGACTGAAACCTGAATCTACATAAAAAATAAAAGCTCCAGAAACAAAAAAAAAAAAAAAGAAAGATAGATAAAAAAAAATGAAGGTAAATATATTTTTCTTTTAAAAAACTTCTGTACCTTACATCCGACTCAATAATGAAAGACTAAATACTTTCCTCTCAAGCTCAGAAACAACACAAGAGTATCCTCCTACCACATGGATTCTCTGTTCTGACCAGCGTAATATGGCAAGGAAAAAAAAAAACCTAAAGAAATACAGACTATCAATGATTAAATTAAATTGTCTTCATTTTCAGATAAAGCGATTGTCTATTTTTAAAAACCCACCCCTAAATTACTAGCTCTAATGTGTGAGTCTTGCAAGATTGCAGAGGCATAGGTAAATATACAAAAATCAATAATATTTTCCCCCACCTCATACCATGTATGAAAATTAACTCAAAATGGATCAAGGATCTGCACGTAAGATTTAATACAGTAAAACTCTTAGAAGAAAACAAAATTGTAAATCTTATTGACACTGGAAAAAGCAATGGTTTCTTGGAGATGGCAGCAAAAGCACAAGCAACAAAAGAAAAAAGAAAAAAAAAAAAGAAAAATTGCACCATATCAAAATGAAAAACTTTTGCTCTTGAAAGGGAAGACCTGCCGAATGAAAGTAAAGAAAACCTAAAAAAATGAGAGAAAATATTTGCAAATAATATATATGTGATAAGGGACTTATATCTAAAATACATAAAGAAAACTTACATCTTAATAATAAAAAGATAATACAGTTTTTAAATGGACAAAGGATCTGAAGGAACAGTTTTACTATGAAGACACACAAGTGGCCAACAAGTTCATGAAAAGATACTCAACATCATTAGCTACCAGGGAAATGCAAATCCAAACTATAATGAGAACCACTTCACACCCACTTGGATGATTATAATCAAAAGGACAGAGAATAAGGATTGGGGTAATTTGGAGAAATCTAAATCTTCACACACTGCTAAACAGAAAGTAAAATTTGGAACAGTCTAGTAGCTCCTCAAAAAATTAAACACAGGGTTACCAAATAAGTTAGTAATGCTACTCCAGATATATACCCAAGAGAAATGAAAACAGATCAATTATAAAAACTAGTCCAGGAATGGTTGTAATTACGTGATTCATAATAGCCCAAACTGGGAAATATCCAAATGTTCAAAAAATAAACGTGATATATCCTTCAAGTGGAATATTGTTCAGCAATAAAAAGAAATGGAGTAGTGATACATGCTATAGCAGACGAACTTTTAAAACATTATGTTAAGTAAAAGAAGACAGGCATAAAAAGCCACATACAGTATGATTCTATTTATATGAAATATACAGAGCAGGCAAACCTCCTGAGACAGAAAATAGATTAGTGGTTGCCTAATGAGGGGAATGAGGCAAATGCGTACAGGGTTTCTTTTTGAGGTGATGAAATTGACTGGTGATGGCTAAATAATGGTGAATATACTAAAAACCATAAAACTGTATACTTTAAATGGATGAATTCTATAGTCTATCTCAATAAAGCTGTTATGAAGAAGACCTCAAATCTCTATCCCCAACCCTGAATTCTTTCCTAAACTTTACCTCACTATAAAAAAACACATCATAGGGCTGGGGATGTGGCTCAAGCAGTAGTGTGCTCGCCTGGCATGTGCCCGGCGCTGGGTTTGATCCTCAGCACCACATAAAAATAAAGATGTTGTGTCCACCAAAAAACTAAGAAATAAACATTTTTAAAAAAACACATTATAGCTATCTCAAACTTTTCATGTTGAAAACTTAAAACTCACTGACTTCACACATACTCATCATTACCGGTCATACTGTTACTCAGTTATTCAAACAGAAACCTTGGAGTCAGAGACTATTCCTTACATTGATCATTACACAAGTTATCCAATTTGCCTGTCACACAGCTCCTAAAGATGACTCTATTTTTGTCTCATCCTTATTTTAGCATCTTAGAATTTCTTGCCAAAATTACTCAAAGTCTACTAAATGATTTCACTGCCTCCAGTCCTTCCTCCAACAGATCTTCCACAGCTGCCAAAGTGAGTTTTTCTAAAATACAAATGCAGTTATATCAATCTCCTATTTTAAAAAAGAAATCAAACTCCTTCCTAATGTTATAAAATTCTCAAGACACACAGTTGAATCTCTTGGGCTGCTCCTCTTTCAGCACTTCTATAAGTGGAGCACTCTTTTGCCATCTTTGCAGCACATTAGTTAGCTCTACACGTGTTCCCTTTCCCTGAAATACTACTCCCTAAATTTCTCACTTGGCTAAATACTTTTTACCAGCCCCTTAACTGGAAAGACTTCTGTGACTCACCCCAAAACCCCTACAACTAGCTGAGCGGTTCCTTCTTTTTCTTCCCACAGCATGTTAAGCGAGTCCTACCATGCTCTGAATTCTCCTCACAAGATAATGAATTGCCTAAGACCTCTCTGTGTATCCTCAGTGCACACAAAGCATCCAAAACTAATCAATGGAATGAGTGGTCTGGTAAATGGCAGAAATGGTATTCCCACACAGCTTTAAAATGACTTAAGTCATTTTTTAATAACTCATCCTAGATTGACATTATGCTGGGTTACCCTAAATAGATTATTATATTTAAGAGTATTCAAAATGTGTACCTATGATTTAATGAGAACCTAGTGATATATTAAACTTCACACTATACAGAATGTTATGGAGTCAAAGTGAGATTTGACTTACCTTAACAACATCAGCTTTATGTTTTTCTAAAACTTGAAGAGTTTGGGCAGTACTGGAATCAATCACTACCACCAGCGAATGACATCCATAAGCAATTAAACCTTGCCAGCCCCTGGCAAAAGAGCAACATTAAAACTCAAGTATGCAACAAGGCAAGATTCAACTTCTCTGTTGCTAATCCTAAATAAATGATAAAGGTACACAAGTACCACCATTAATAAAATTATTACTTAAACCCAAAGGCTTGTATGTAACAGTATCCATTGAAAGAAAAGGTCTAGCTAAGTTTACAAATGCTGGTTGCAATTCATTTTTCATTTGGTTAAAAAGGATCCTAAGGCTACGTTTATACAGCAATGAACATGTAAAAAGCAACTTGTGTGTCTTTGTAGGCCTATGCTTTGTCTTATTCTTTTAAATCTATTTTCAATGTTGAGTATCTACCATGTGCCTGGGATATGTATCTAAGACGAGTCCTAGATCTTACAACCCCATAAAAAACGACACAAGTCAGGAGTTTCAGTCCTTTTGACAACAAGCCCAGCGCCACAGCTTCAGAATTTTGCTTCACATCCGTTTTATTATTAGTTTCGGAGCTGCTGTTACTTCACAGTGAAAAGACAAAAGGTAACAGGGGCGAACTGAACCAGAAAAGAGAAAGGTGCGAAAAGGCAGGGAATGCACAGGTGCCTAGCAGAGAGTCCGGCACGTCGTTGAATGAATGCAAGGAGAAGGGGAGAAGGGGAGAAGGGGAGAGGG